CTGATCGCCTAGATGGCCTCCCGATCAGCTTGATATAAAACCATGGCTTCAGGCATGGGTGTCGATCCCGGGGGGAATGGGGGGATATATCCCCCCCCCCCCCCAATATTTTAGGAGAGGGGATGGCCTGTACAATCATTCCCCCCCCCCCAATAATTCACCATCAAAAGAAAAATTAATGAAGAGAGCCAATATGGACTCTGTGACGAATTCGTGATGAGATCGGAGACAAGGAGAAAAATTTTCGGATATTAGTATGACTAATAAGATAGTTCACTAGTTGTTATGTTGTTTCCATTTACCCTTTTTAAAATTCACGTCATTGTATCTTTATTCGCTTGTTTTTTTCACTCATTTTATTTCCTGATATTTCCTAAAACATTTTTCAAAACGCGCTAAAAGTTACAGTCGTGTATTTGTTTAACTCTTTTAATTTGGGCATTATTGCAAGAAAAAATTATCGACCAATTCCTCAATATAAAGAAATCTTAAAGGTAAAGGAAAGCATCTGGGCAAGAATATATTGGAACCGGTATGTTTCAGTGAAACATGTTTTTTTTTCCAGTTTGTTTAAAGATACTGCATTGAACTATTGACCTTGACCTACTTATAGGGTCATTTAAGTGTAAACCAGGCAGAGCATATTTTTCATGGATGTGAGCTGACTAGCCCTTGTAAGAGGGACGGAAGACATGTTACCCGTCATCAGGGCAAGGTTCACAGGTTCACAGCTAAAGAGAGAAGGAAACATGCTCTTAGATTCAGGGGCCCAGATCAGCATCATCCACCAAGATCTTGCTGAGGGCTTAAGACTGACTGGTAAGATCACGAAGGTGGGATGTGAGGAGGAGTTTCTGAAGACATCAATGTATAGAGTGCCAGTCAGGGGGGGTAGTGAGCACATTTTTTTTTTTTTTTTGATCCTCAAAAAATTTCAATTTGCACCCCCCCTTGAGCGCCGGGGGGGGGGGGGGGGGGGGGGGGGGCCCAACCACCAAAAAAGGTAAAAATCACGTGATTTTACATGATTTTTTTCTCAAGGGGGGGAGCACGGGCCCCCCGGGCCCCCCCCCTGGATCCGCCACTGTCAATGATGACATCAGTGAAGTGAATGTTGCTACTCTTGCCCGTCAAGTAGGCCTTAACCCTAGAGCGATATGCAGAGGGAGTGGATTAATAGATCCACTAATTGTTATTGACCACGCTAAGACGCACTCAGGTGACTCAAGGTCGACAAGATTTCGACGAGATTTCAACAAGATGGCTGCTCACGAAACAGACCCGGACTCGAAGATGTCAGACACTGACAGCAATATTTCAGTTCAGCTTGGCAAGAAAAAGAAATTGAAAAGCGGTGCTGCTTGGTACAATTGCAAGTTTTCTGCAGATTGGACAAAGAAAGTTGGCTCTTTTATCGTAAAAGGGGACAACATTTATTCATTTCGGTGCACTTTGTGCAATAGAACATTATCATGTTGCCATATGGGTTTGGGCGACGTGCAGAGGCATGTTAAGCTTGACATGCACACACAGAGTGTTGCAGCAATGCGAGGACAACCCACCCTTCTTCAGTTGTGCCAAGCAGACCCACTAACGGAGAAGGTATGTTATTGTTAAAGGGGTAGTTTAGTTTTGTATGACAGTATCTTTAAAGGTCAAGTAAATTTCCCAGTACAACATCTCCCAGTGGAAGATGGCAATCCTGAACTAGAAGGGCCTCAGCACCATACACCCGAGGCGCTGGCCAATCAACTATCATTGTGGCTGCTGATCGGAACATTGTCGCAGCAGTTATCATCGATGTTTCTTGGGTGTCTTCATTGATGAAAATTTGAGATGGAGTGACTACACATAAATGATGTTTGTTCTAAAATTTCCAAAACTATTGGTGCAATGAATCAGCTGAAATGTAGAGTACCGAACCAAGTACTTTTATCTTTGTATCATACAATGATCTTGCCTTACATTATGTATTGTTGTATAATATGAGGTCACAGTGTAAAAGGCTGTTAAGTGATGACTTGTAGAAACTAGAAATGACTATGGTTAAGGATGACAGCCCAGGAAAGGTCATGCAGGCCTGCCATCTTGACTACTAGTTACTGGGAAGTACCAGTCTCTTACCATTCAACCATAACGATGACCAAAAAAGAAATAATGAAAACAGACAGGACATCATGAACTATCGTTTTCCGGCATAGACAATCTTTCCTTGCATGTTGGATTGGACATAACTTAAGCATGGAAGGGTCATGCATCCTGGAGTTTGCTGAACAAAATTCCATATTTTAGAGGCAGTGTTAAGGGTCTTCTCAGAGTGAGATTGTCACTGAAGTGGGAACTGCTGTACTTTCTTCGTCAATCAAACAAGGTCGCTGATTGGATGGTGGGGATCTGAGTTCCAGAATTTCAATCAAACAAGGTCGCTGATTGGTTGGTGGGGATCTGAGCCTTCCAGGAGAGCCCAAGTCAACAGCGTTGTTGAGATCACTGCATCCAGGAGTGTTTCATGTAACTGGAGTAACAGTTTGGTTGGGTGAGTCTGAGGAACTAATACTTTAACAAGCTCTGATTATAGTAGGTTCCTCTTTTCTCGTGCTATTACTATTATACATGTATTTGTTGTTTAATTTTTATATTTGTTGTAATATACTTATTCATTGTATTATGTTTTGAATGAGATATAAAACCATTGGAATTTCAATTTGATGTTAAGATGCAGCAGACACTGCTAGAGCACATGAGGCAATGACAAAGAAGATGGCCTAATCTCCCCTAGACCTCCAGTAAGATAGATGCCGTTTCAAAGCAGCCATGGAAATAGAGCAAACAAACCTGCAGAAATTGTGTAACGGTACAAAGCTTTGACGACTGAAAGAAATGTCCAGCATTCAGGAAGGAATGCAGAGCATGTGGAAAGATCAATCACTGGGAAAAGAAATGCAGGTCAGGCAAACCAGACAGACCCAATCCCGGAAGAGTGATAAAAAGAAAACTAACACATTCAAATATAAAGACATACATGCTCAACAGGAGGAAGATGACACATCAGAGGAAGAATTCTTGACCGTGGGCATGATCAAAGTCCATGAGATGGAGAGTAAGAACAGTCACGAGGATAAGACATACCGTACACTACAATCCAAGTTCAAAAGGAAGTGGGTAAGTAAATGACGAGCTGTCAGATGTCTGATACGGGTATATAATGATATATATTGGCCTCCATCATAATAGTTGCCCCAGGCATTGTTTATAGAGTTCTCTGTACATGGACCTACTATACCTACTGCTCTCTCATTACTGTTCAGTTTTTTATCTTTATTTTTCTGTCTTTAAGAGAGCCCATTAGACATACCGATGGTAAAAAAAAAAAAGAGGACAAAAAACGTTTCAAGTGCCCGAAGTGTGCGAAACATGTGCAGAGGCTAGACACCCATTTGCACAAGGCTCATAACGTGCCTAGGAGAACGGAGGAAATGAGGGCAGCTCTGGCTTGTCAGTGCTCAAAAGACTCGTCGTCAACTGCAGAGCATGTGGAAAGCTCAATCACTGGGAAAAGATCAGGCAAACCAGACAGAAAGACCCAATCCCAGAAGAGTGATAAAAAGAAAACTAACAAATTCAAACCTAAAGACATACATGCTCAACAGGAGGAAGATGACACATCAGAGGAAGAATTCTTGACAGTGGGCATGATCAAAGTCCAGGAGATGGAAAGTAAAAACAGTCAGGAGGATAAGACATACACTACAATCCAAGTTCAAAAGAAAGTTGGTAAGTAAATGACCAGCTGTCAAATGTCTGATACGGGTATATAATGATATATATTGGCCTCCATCATAAAAGTTGCCCCAGGCATTGTTTATAGAGTTCTCTGTACATGGACCTACTATACCTACTGCTCTCTCATTACTGTTCCATTTTATCTTTATTTTTCTGTCTTTAAGAGAGCCCATTAGACATACCGATGGTAAAAAAAAGAGGACAAAAAACGTTTCAAGTGCCCGAAGTGTGCGAAACATGTGCAGAGGCTAGACACCCATTTGCACAAGGCTCATAACGTGCCTAGGAGAATGGAGGAAATGAGGGCAGCTCTGGCTTGTCAGTGCTCAAAAGACTCGTCGTCAACTAAAGGTAATTTCTCATACTTATTCAGTAAAGGGGATTTAAAGCATGTGTATATTTTTTTTCTTCCTTTAAGTGTATGTACAATTCATTCTTTTTCTATCATACAATACTATGGAAGCAAGTCAAATTAGTACAGCATAAAGAACTACTGTTCCTTCAGTTTAGTTCACAGTTCGGCTCATTTTTATCCATTCCATTTTCAAAATAAACAAACAGTTGTACGCGACAAACATACACTTCATCAATCTGAAGGTGAAAGCTTACACTGGAGCCCAGAGTAACATTTTTCCTATCAGCCTCTACAGAAGGATGTTCCCAGAACACATGACACAAGATGGCAAAGTCAAAGGAATCCTCACTCCCAGAAAGGTGATTCTGACTGCATAAGGAGACCACGTTCCACAACTGGGTAAAAGCAGCAATTGCAGGGAGACACAATGAAAAGGAGGTTAGATGTACCTTATATGTGGTCAAAACAGACAGTGTTATATCTAATTGCATCCAAACCTGCTGGAAATGAAGGTCAGATGTTATCTCACACACAGCAGCGTGTGAACCCACCTACGATCCATGAGCAGAAGGATCTGGATTCAACGATCCCTAACCCAGTTCATGAGGATTCGGCTCAGACAAAGTCTCTTTCCAATACCAGTCTCCACATGAACCATCAGTTAGAGATTCAAGTTCGCTCATTTTCCTCATTTAAACGGATTCGTTGAGCAAGCGATACAGGCTATGAAGCGTACTCTAGCGCTGTCGGGGTAAGATAGATCGCGTGAAGAACCTGGACTACAAAATAATAATAATCATAATAATAATATTTAATTTTTATATAGTGCTTAATACAAATGTCTCGAAGCGCTTTACAAATATACTATTACCCCGGTCATACGAAGCTCTGCTGGACTAGGCAGTTCGCTCTTGATAGGCGTTGTGCTTAGGCAGAGAAGGGCTATGTTGGCGGTCTGCTTTGTGGTTGGAAGGTCAAGAGCAACCTTCCATTTGTGATATGCGACACATCAACACGCAGACAGCAAACTTACCAGCGTCTACAACAGCAACAAGATCAACAGAAAGCATAACATGATCTATAAACCGCACATGATCTCAAGCCTTCACAACATGTTATAATCCAGGATGCACGCACACATGAGGCCACATGAAAAACTATGACCTGAAAATAAATCGCCAGGGCCTGAATTCAGGTTTTTGACTGAAAACTGGCATCCCTGCTACAACGCCTTTGGTGTCGGCCTGTAAACCTAACAACATCCTGATCTATTTAAGCAATGGCAGACACAGAGCTGCCTTGCTGGTATGAAGATCATCCACCACCTTGGTTTACACCGATCGGATCTCCTCCTGTTCAACTTGCAGATGCACAACGCTACAAATGGAGACATCCGGATCCTTGGGGCCACCATCCTCTGCTTGTCTGGAAAAGACACACAGGGATGGGTCATTGAAACTAGGCATATGACCTACGTCACGGACAGTTCGGACAGACTCTTCTTTAGCAAGGAAGCATGCATGGATCATCTCACCATGCAAGAAGCAATGTCATGATTGTGCTTGCAGCTGTATACATGTACGTACGTTGTTTGAGGAGCTCTTTTGTGCCTAACTGCACTGCTGCATGTTGTTTGGTGATGTTTTTAAATGAGGTCTATATCGTGTTCACAAATAAGATCGCTGTCTATTTATGTCATTCAGCTGCTATATGCTGAATTTCACAATGAACACAGTACTTATGTAATGAAACATACATGTATAGAAGATGATACTCTTGTCTTGATTAGACAATATAACATAATCCTTATATATTTTTATATTTTTACTAAAACTCAAGGTACCTTTGACCTTTGACAACAAAAAACTGCAGGGATACCAGTCAATTTGACCCATTTACATGTACTGTAGCCTAAAAACAGACTCAGAAACATTAGAATCTAATATCTTCTGCATTCATGGTACCAAGCTTGGTTAGCTTGCAAATGCCTGAATTTGACTTTACGAAAACATATCGCAGCTATGATACAAAAGGCAAACCAGATGTTGGGATCATCAAAAGAGTGTTTGTCAATACCAATCAGGACATCTTCATACCTCTATACAAAATCCTGGTACGCCCACATCTTCAATAATGTACTGTATCATGGAATCCCCTGTTTCATGGCAGATGACAGCAAGATTGAAGCTGTGCAACGGAGAGCAACAAGAATGATTCCTGGTATGAGTTCATTCTCCTATCCTGAAAGACTTAAGAAACTCAATCTATTCTCACTTCGCTACAGGGACGATATGATCCAGGTTTACAAAATACTTCATGGCATCGACAGACTCAGTCCAGAACATTTCTTCAAGAGACCAGAGTACCAATTCACTTGTGGACATCCATTGAAACTGTTTAATACTCATCGCAAGCTTAATGCCAGAGGCTGTTTTTTCAGTAAACGTGTCATCGAGCTATGGAATAAACTGCCAGAACCTCTAGTCACTCCACGAAACATAGTTATCTTTAAAACTGGTCTAGATAAACACTGGCTTGTTAAACAATTTCACCTCACCTCATTTCTACCTCACTCCCGTATATCGATGATGATAATGACGAAGGAGAGAGGAAACAGGGCCTGAAATAACGCAACAGCTGAAAAGTGTTATCGTCACTTTCCAATGGCCAATCACAGCCTGTTATTTTTTGTTTGCACTTTGTTCCATCAGCTTCCGCATATATTGTCTGATTTTGGCTTTCTGTTAATTCTTGCGATTTACTTGCGATTTACGAGCCATACTCGAGCCATGTTCTACATGTACATTAATGGATCGACTCATGAAGAAATGACTTTCAAAGCACCAAAGGTTAACCTGGATGAATAAAAAATAATACACATGCCATATTGTGTACCCTTCTACATTCACATTTTTCCAATGATTTAGGCCAACCGTCTCTCACCGAACTGTCTCATCTAACATCGTATGGTATATCTCCATGTCAAGCTCTATCACGACATTGATCTCAGGGCCTGGAAATGACTTAGCCCACGGTCGATAGATCTTACTCGTCACCATCTGTCCTTTCGTCATCCCTTCATGGAGTTCAATCTGACACGGGGTGTGAGTGGCTTTCTTGATTGCGGCTTTGCAGATAGCAACGACCATGGCACATCCATCAGCAACCATGCACACAGATTTCTTATCAGTCTTCGCTTTTTTCAGACGATCTGTGTACATGGCTGCCACAAACTTGGCCTTCTTGGAATGGTGTAGGCTCTCGAACCAGCTCTGTGGAATCAAACAAACAAAAAATAGAGAAAGAATTTATATATTTGAAAGCATGAAGGATAAGTGGTCTTAAAATTTATGTTGATCTTTGACCTGAATAATCCTAGAATTCAAAATCAACACGTCATGGGTTACATGTATAGTGCCTAGTATGATATCAAGCTCTAATTAGACTCCAAATTGATTGCGCTAACAAAACAAGAGGATGTCCATTTACAAAGAGACAATCCTAGCTTACAAATCTCTTGCTATGAGGGCATCTTATTAGACAAAAATAAATTAAGGAGATGTTCATGAAAGAAGATGCATATAAGACAATGAATTAAAACGAAAGGTATTTTGAGAGAAATTTATTTCAAACTATAACAATTTACAAAGTTACATATTTATTATATTTCCAAACAAAACAGTATCACAATCTATGAGAAAAACATTAAAAAGGAAGGTGCAATGAGAGCAAAGATTTTAAGAATTAGAATTATTATTAATAATCATCATAATTATTCAAATTCATGACACTCAACTTACAGTTGATATACTACAAGAGATACATGTCTCTAAAGGAACAAGAGTTGTAGGACATTGGGTTCCAGTCACCACAATATGAGCTGCTGTGGGGTCCACAGTGAAATTAAACTCTGAGGCTGGAAAACGGGTTCCTGTGGCTGAAAACAGAACAACAATGAAATTCTTGGATATATATTGACTTAGACAACTAATTATAGATCAGAGAATATCATTTAAAGCCCATCTGTACTAGTTTACAGGAGGGATTAGATCACCCTGCAAGGTCACTGACAGGTGGTTAGCTCATCTATTTAGCTCTCACTTAACATAATAAAAAGAGGATCCTGGGGGACCAATGGTCACCGATTAGGCATGGTTTGCTAAATAGAGGGTGCAAGTACCTATAAGTAGTGCAGTGGGGCTTTAAATAACTTCATTTCTGAAGAACTGACATATCTCCAACGGAATAAGATTTTAGGCCCGTTGAGTTTACGTTCAGCTGTCGATAACTCAGTACAATATAATTCATGTATAAGTTTTACATCAACGTTTTTTTTGTGTGTAAAATAATCATTTCTGGTCTTCTTTATTTCTTCATAATAATATAATCATTTTCACATTTTCATCATTTGCCTCAATTTCTGGAGGGATATACATGGTTTTCTAATATTTTCTTTTATCTGTAAACTAGGCTACTGTAAACGATAATTCATTAGGTAAAACAAAATATAAGGAAGTCTCTGTTTTGTTCTTTTCTTTTTAAATTTTACATCAACATTACTTCTCCCTCTTGATAAACTTGATAAAATCATGGCGAATCAAGCCAAAGTCTTACCTAAAATGTTTCCTCCCATGATGACGAGCTCCTTGAGTTTAGAAGTAAACTGCAAGTCCAACTTCATGGCCAGAGCCACGTTAGTCAAAGGACCGATAGCCACGAGGGTGATCTCTCCCTGGTGCTCGTTAGCCATGAAGATAAGTGCTTCTACCGCATGCTCTGATTGGACAAGATCTCCAGAGGGCGGAGTCTCTGGGTTGGGGAAGTCTCCAAGGCCATCTTGTCCATGAGCCGATGTTACGGGGGCAGTGCCCAGGAAGTCTTTCGTAGTACCAGAGTATACAGGAATCTGCAGAAAAAAGGTGTAACATGTCAGTTACCCTTTATGAACTGAAGACAGTGAAACCTGTCTATACTGACCACCCAAGGGAGACAAGAAATGTGGTCTTTATAGGCAAGTTGCCTGCATGTACATATCCTTTAGTACATGTTTCAATGAGAAACCATTTTCAAGGGAAACAACAAATGTGGTCTTTGTAGACAGGTCTTTCTATACAGCCTTGTGGTCACTAATAAAAGCAGGTTTGACTGAACTTTGAAAGCTGTACCAGTGAGAACAGCTTGTTCAGATGATCAACATTCTTTCTTTAAATAAACAAAAGTGAATAACATTTTCAGCAGCTTGTTTGCATGTTTAATATCGTGTTTTTTTCTTTTTGTCTCTGAATATCAAAACCACATTAAGACAGCCAACATAAATTGAACAGATTGCTATGGACACATGCATGAGTCTTGACTTGTTGTTCTCTCTCTACACATAAAAAGGTATACATGTAACTTGTGTCAAGCATGTCATACCACTCGACTAAATCTTATCACTTCATGCTTTTTTAATGCTGTAAGGCATGTATACCCTCGACAAGAAAAAAGAAAAAAACCTCAAAAAATGCTTACATCCAGTCTCCCACACTTCTGCAGGACCCGCAGTACATTGATGGTGACCTTTTCAACAGGTGTGTTCCCGTTAACACATGTTATGCCGATAAGATTGACCCTCGGCTCGGCCAATGCCATCATGATAGCCACGGCATCATCGATCCCCGCATCACAGTCGATTACCATGGTGGTTCTATCCTCCATGATGTCATAACAAGGATATGCTGCCAAACTAAAGTTGAATGTATGGTGGTGATCTGAATGAAAAAAGTAATAGGGGGAATTTCAGTGAAAACAGGGAGAATTAAAGTGAAAATAGACAATCAGAAGTCTCCATTATCTTCAATCTACAACTGTACAAGTATGGGAAAAACAGAAATTGGAATAAAATTTATTCGTCAAAGAAATTTAACCAAGTACAGTAAGCATGAAGTCTCTCGAATAGCAAGTCTTTCCTCTTCTTTGTGCATGGCTGATCGTCAACGAAATGGAGGTATGTCTTTTGTCAACTCTGTCTGTTTGCTAAACTAGCTACGGCTGGCAACCAGTGACAACTATTTTTTTTTTTATATCAAATCAAATTATTGAAATGCAAGCATTACTTTAAACAAACATAAATGTGCTATTCTTCCTGATTGAGGTGTCATATGAAAGGGCAGAAGATGAACTTTCTAGAAATGTGATTTTCTTTTTTTTTTCTTTGAAATTCCGATACCGCTCTAAAAATGACTTTTTGGTTTCCTCTCGATCTTCAAATTGTGTTTAATCACTCATGACTCATGCATGCGTAAAATATCATATGCATCATATGAGTTGTATCAACTGAAAGAGGATCATCTTAGCTTTACCAATATGTGTCATTTATTAATTATAATTGTGATTAAGTTATGATAAAACATCGATAATTCTCGGTTTCGTTTTTTCGGGGACGCACTCCAACAGGCCGCATCCATCGCCCTTACCAGCCTGATCTGTCCGCGTACATCGACCGCAAAAGCCGACACCAGCCCAGTGCTCCAGCTGCAGTAGCCCGTGTCCAATTAGTTCCAAGTTTACAATTCTGTAAGGCACCAAAACCTTGAAATTATATGAAAAGATGGTTAATAAGTTACACCCTAAACTAAAGAGAGCAGAGAACGATCTGCGTACCTTAAATCAGAGGTATTGTAACTTCAGATGTTCAAGAGTGAACATTGTGACGTCCGTCGATCGTCTGCTCCGAGGAGAACGTTAGAGCTGCACACATATGATGCACACGAAATCTTCATACTGCCGAGAGATTTTACACCATCGTACTACCGTAGTACTGGATGAGCTGTTCCATGTGTAAAAGTATTCCAAGATGTGACTCAAGCAAAGGCCAACAAAATAGCTAAACCATTAAAAAAATGGCTTAAATCATTTAAAGTCCAGGATATCTTGTATTTTGATCTTTCATGAATCAGGCGCAACACAATTATCTTGAAAATAATAGAGGATAAATAGTACTACATCTACTCGCAACGTCCCCAGATTACTGCTCCCCTCTCCGTAATATAAGCTCTCTTGTTCAGCTCCTGAAAACGAGTAGCAGCTCCATTACAAAATTATGCACATACTCCACCAGCGGGGAGGGCCGGGGTGTGGTGGTGGTGGGGGGGGGGTGATGCCGGGCATGCATATGTACACCAAAGGCAAGCAGATGAATGAATGAATTGATGGATAGATGGACTGATGTTTGGATAGATAAATGAGCGCTGGGATGAATACATTGATTATTTATATATATATATATATATATATATATATATATATATATATATATATATATATATATATATATATATATGTAGCAAGAAATGTATCTGACATGGCCTACAATAATCCGGGCCTATAAGGCCTACACATTATCCACCAAGTCGATCTGCGCGCGGCACCCGGCTTCATTAAATTGTTTAATAACTTAAGAAAAACAAACAAACAACAAACATAAATAGTCTTAATTCAAAATATCCCAAAATGTAGGAAAGAGCAGAAGACAAAATGAAAAGTGAGACCTATAGTCAGGCGCGGATCCAGGATTTTTTAGGGGGCGATAATTCGTTCAGTGGTGGGAGGGGAGGGGGCAGTAGTGAGCATTAATTTTTTGGGGGGGCCCTCGGAAATTTGAAACATCGCACCCCACCCCCTCCTTGAGCGCCAGGGGAGGGGGGGGGCTATCTCCAAAAAAAGGTAAAATTAACGTTTTTTACACGTTTTTTTTAACCAGGAGGGCGGGCCCCCCTGGTAAAAAAAACGTCATAAACATCATAATTATAACTAAAGTAGTAAAGAAATTCTATAAAAAGTTGCTTATGTTTAAGTTATGTAAAATCATGTTCTATACTGTACATGAAAGAAAGAGCCTAGAATTTGATTCATATAAATAAGCTGTTTGACCAATTTACATTTGCCGAGAGAAGTTGAAAAAGGGCTACAATTCGTTTTTCTTCCTTCAGGATTTACGTAATTACGATATTTCTCAGTTAAAACTCACTACTATTTAACATGTGCCATTGCGTATTATTATTTTGAAAGGTATTTTCTCGACTTATAAATTTAGCTACAGGCCAGACTGATATCTACTTGCTCCCTCTATATAGAAAACTTCCCCAATCGGTGCCTGTTGGTCCCCCGTAAGCCTCTTTTTCTTATGTTAGTTGAGAGCTGAGTTAATGAGATAGCCACCTGTCAGTGACCTCGCTGTGTGGTCTAATCCCTTCTTGCCCAGTAGTATTGACGGTCTTTAACCTTGTTTCAAAAGAAATCTCTTGATGAAGACTAGAATACCCGGCGATTACATATACAAGAATGAGCCTGCTCATTATTCAATGTTTTCCAGTCCCTCCTTCGATAACTTACTACCTCCCCTTTCGCATAATGGATTGCCCCTTAGTAACCACACAAGCACACGATTCAATAGACCAGTTCACGGTTAGCACATTACTGCAATGACCCCGAATATCCACAGATCTTAAAAACATGAAGAGGTCCCACTTTTTACATTTTGAAATAATCACTCCTACAGCGATGGAGGTGCTATATAAATAGCCTTTGTTTCCCCTTTTCAAAGAATACTTCCACCTGTGTATCATGGATGGCACTGAATGTGCATGAATGAATAATGTTACATAACTTTCATGAACACGTATCCAGTATTTCGTCTCCGTGTATTTCAAAATTTGTTCTGCAATGACCTTTATCTGCTCATGCTCAGACTGCAACCGTGAACTGGCTTATTTATGTCGCTTCGTTTGCCTTGCCGCTAGCAGTCATGCAATCTTGCTCTTACTGAAGCGTGCAAGCAAATGGTAATGAAAAAGCCCAAGCCATTGGGGTAAATAGTACAAAGTCTTTATTGTTAATGCATTTTGTCAATAACTGACAGTGCCAATACCTTAAGCAGCTATAGCGACAGCCAGACATGGATACCATACACACTTACAAATGCACAGGGACTATGGAGTTTACTCATTAATTTATTAGTTCACAGTTTTGATTAATGCTGGCATACACAGTGAGTGGCGCCAATGGCAAAGTTTGACAAGCAGCATATACCCAACCAAGCCGGTGTATATTACGTACGAGAGAGAATAACTCAAATCAGAATCTATGCTGGATAGGTATATCGCCAGTCAACGATTAGAGCTCCGGTAAGTCTGTACATAATGTTTCCATAAAATGATATACTGTGAATAATTAAACCATATACATTTATATCGGATTGTTATTATACATTGCAGCGATAAATCAACACACGCGACAACTGGAAATTGTGATATTGTCTACTCCCCGAAAAGAATAATTGACTTCTTTTTATCAGCGGCCATTGAAAGAGAATGATCGATAGCATGAATTGTCGATAGAAAGTTAACGTGGTGCCTCTTGCAGGTGAGTATATACTTAATATATTTTATTTCAACTCCCTACAATAGAAAGTGCATAATGATGGATTTTTATTAATATATTCCCGTTATCTATATGTCTCACTGATTGTTCTACTACCTTCAACTCTGAATATTCTTGCAGATTTCAAAGATCCTCTCTCAAAACTCCAGTATAGCCTTCATAGCATGCACATTATAACTACTTGTGAAGCTAAAAGGGCGATTTACTAATTACGATTTCCATTTCATTTCCCTTTAGGCATTGACTGTCTTGCAGATGAGAGAAGAACTTGAATATGTATTCTCATACAAAACTGACAATAATTTCGAAAACATCAACTCAATGCGACGTCAAAATGATAAAGTATAATTTAAAAACATGACTTCAAAGGCCTTCGAAACAAGAAACTATGAAAGTCAAAGAAACATGTGAGGATGAGCTTTGAGACGCGATTAAAAGAGCAACAATCCTTGTATTTTCAAGACGCGGAAATTAAATTCAAACAAAGACATGACGGACAACAAAAATCACAACCCCAAACCTACATCACCAGATGAAATGGAGAACCATCCCGTTGCAGATCAGTATCTTCACGAGAGATCATCCCCGATGTCGTCACCGGGTTCGTCATCAAAGAAGTATTCGAGGACCTTCAAACAGCTCGTGACCGATGTCCGAGTGAAGATGAAGCTCAGGGGGCTGGAGGAGATCAATGATGATCATCATCTTCATAGCTTGGCATCAGCCATTAAGAAGGGGTTTCAATCTACCCGCAAGAACCCTCAACTAGAAACGGATGAGGTACGTATTAACCCTTTGACAGTCATTCCTCATTCGGTGGTTCTGGTTCTATGACTTTTGACTTAAAGGGGCAAAAATATCTACATACCCTGTCTCCATTTTAATTGCATTTAACGAAAAGAATTTCGAAAAGGAAAACAAGCTTTCAAATCCTTAAGTTGGCAACTGACATTGAGAGGTCCAAAATCTGGGATATTACAAACAAAATGGCTTTCAGTTTGTTGTTTTGGACATAGACATAGACCTACTACCGAACTACATCAACAATAGTAGAGAGACAGTCTTTGACATTTTAAGACTGAACAAATCATCAATGGTTATTGTACACATAATAGTCGATATTGTTTTTTATGGCTATATATTATATGACTGAATTGAATATATTATATGCTCCCTTTTTCTCTATCTCTCTTTCATTTACCATTGACTTGATGAATATTCTCATTTCCTCGTCTTTCCACACTTTGAATAGTTGTTTTTTTCTTTTTTTAATTATAGGAGTCTCTCGAATCTGACGATTATGGTGAGGTTGACGAACACTTAATTCCCATGGAAAACAAAAATAAGGTAATTTTTATGACCCGTCAGCATAACAATGCAATATAATTCAGTCAACAGTCTACCGAGTTAATAAGGTTTACATTTTTTCTTTTAATATAATTATAAAGGATGTTTATCGACTTGCGTCAATAGCCTTCCTTTCTTTACTTCGTAACGTGTCAATAGTTTAACATATGGTGATTATTAAAGAGATGTATTTCCGTTTCACGACTGTCTCCATAGATCAATTACAGTGGAAATGATTATATCAGAAAGTAATATGAATATAAGATAATAAATTGAAAGAAAACTTTATAAATGTTTGTTCTCGACGCTGATTCCTATCAAATCATTTATAGGAAGCTGTATTCAGATACTACGCACCGAATGTATTCAGAGATCTCCGAAGTTTGTTAAACATCTCATGTCAAGAGTTCTACGATCGCCTTGATAAAGAACCATACATCCAGTATAAAAGCAACTCAAGAAGTGGACAAATCTTCTTTATGACGTAAGTAAACAAGTCAAGAGGGGGTTTAACGTATATTCCCTCCCTCCCTCATAGCAACAACACTCTAAACAAAATTATACAGTTTTCATATCCGTTTTAAATGTATTTTTCCAGACATATGTTTCTTGAGAATGTGACATAATAAACGCTTACATCTAATAGTATTCAACCAAAGCTCCAGTCGAACCAGCTCACCTCTTTTTTTAGTTACGAAAAAACACAAAATATATGAAATTTACAAGGGATATGAATAATTCAGTTGTTAACTGAGACTACATAATGGCTTACTTTCTTCATTCTATAGATCAATCACCACGATAAGAAGTTGAATGATGATGACGACAACGGCAAGGACAACATTTTTAGAATAACTTTCTTTTTTCATTTTCTTTTCTTGACGCTTGACTAAGAAACTCGAGAGCCTTTTGTTACCTGCGAGAAAAAGCTTTTTGAAAATCTAACCTGACACCCCCCCCCCCCCCACCCCCTAATAATACAAATATTATTGAAAAATGTTGTAACTCGACGCCAGTATGTCATCGGGGACAGCATTATTATCTACCATGGCAACCTAGCGATGTGATGTTGATCTTCGGCGCTCGATGTTACAAGTTATAATATGACCACCATGCAGTAGCATATTCCAGAGGGTATCCCCCACCCCCCCCCCCCCCCCCCCCCACACACACACACACATCCCTTCGCATTGGCAAGAATGCTGGAAGAGAAGGAGAGAGATGCATGGATTTTAAAGGGAGAGGAAGAAAAATCCCTTAATCACCCCCCCCCCCCTTCCCCCCCCCCCCCCCCCCCCCCGGTGCTAGAGCAAGTTGCTCTGCAAATATGACCTTTTAAGAATCATTTTCTTACATCTATTTTGATGGAAGCCACATAATGCTTTACCGTCTGACATTTCTCTGATGCTCATTATTTCCTTTGCAGTAATGATAAGCGGTACTTCCTGAAGACAGAGAACAGAAGAGACGCCAAAGTGCTTCTGCATATGTTACCCGATTACGTCACACATCTTACGAACTACCCCCATTCACTGCTCGTAAGAATTCATGGGCTCTACTTCATCAAGCTACCGGGAAAGAAAGGGGTAAGTTGCTTCTGTGGTACCTATCAAAAATCAATACATCTTTAATGCAAGATATTTGTATATCTTTTGCGCATTTCAAAGTGTCGATGTTAGTCAATTAATTTCAAGCTGATTAGTCCCTGTGGGTAATCGTTAGTTGTGCTTTTGTTTAACTGAAAAAGTGCGAAACCTAAGTTGAATATCCAAGATTTAATGGTCGACTCCCTCTGTCTGGTGATATAAAATATATAATACGAACACAAGAGTGTCAGCTTTGTACTCAGCACTTAATGATTTTTATTGGAAATAACAAGAATATATAATTAACTTTTATCGAGATTTATTAGGTTTATTATTGTTCACCAACTGAAATTATAAAAGTTTTAATTAATTTCAAAAGCCAACGGTTTCACAGGTTATAGTGATGTTTTGACGCTTGACGTTTTGACCATGAATTGTTTTCCTTTTCACACTTCGTGATAAGATGATAATTCTCATATATTCTTCCTCAGAAATTCTTTTCTGTGATGCAGAGTGTATTTCCTCCCGAAGAGGGCAATAACAGGTGAGATTAAAATATGTGTTCTTCCTAAATATTTCCACGAGTCCCATTTTAAATTATGACCCAACAATTAGCATTTTCATTGCCTAGAGGTGTTGTGGTCGAGTAGATACGTCGCCGGACTGTCGATCACAAGGTCCACGGTTCGAGTCCCGCCGCCACACTAATCTCCTTTGGCAAGACATTGATCTACATCTGCCACACTCCACCCAGGTGAAGTAAATGGGTACCTGGTAAGAATTTATTTCTTGAAATGCTAGAGCGCCGTATGGCAGCCGTGCTAAAGCCAGGGTAATAATCGGGAGCGCCAGGAGGGTCAAATCTGACTGACATGAGCGCTATACAAGAACCCACTATTATTATTATACTTCAAGGTTATTATCATTTACACAGACACACACATAATTCATACTTCAAAGTTATTACCAATGTCAGCACACTAGAACTAATCTAACACACTAATCCTCCCTTATAATAATAATGATAATAGCTCACATTTATAACGCGCCTAATACTTTGTTTCTATATAGGCGTAGCACATAATTTATACATATCATATTAATTTTCATCAATATCGCAATAATTGTTGTACCGATTCAATACACCTTCTATACAGAATATCTTCATTGCCTTGTCTCGTTTTCACCTTGTCTTTTCCTGATAATCGTGATGATAATCAAGGATTTGATGAAATTAAGTGATTCATCTTGCTCTTAGCAGATACGACTATTTGTCTATCATTTTCATTAAGGTATGACCTCAAAGGCTGTGTCTTGAATCGCTACGTAAAGCCAGAGAAAGAAGGAAGCCAGTATGTGACTGTGTTGAAAGACGTCAACTTTGGTGATCAGAAGCTGTATATAAGTGAGTTCTTCTTTTAACTTCCACCCATGTTTACACTAAAAAAGGATCGTTAATACTTTCAACTAATCAACTTAAGGTCAATTTCAATACCGTAATGTATTTCCTTTATAAATCATGTTTGAATTATGTGATATATCATTGTACTGCTTACAAATTTCGATATGTGACGCACAAGACTATTGAGACTGCCTTAGGTTTATTTCTTGAAAGTGTTTATGATCGCGCGCTATTAAAATAATTGACATTAAATAAAATTCAAAACTAATTACAGTTTAAACATAATTTTGATAACCATTAGAAATTACTTAAGATTTTGAATCTCGGCGACTGTCATTTCATCTGCATTTCATATCATGCAAGGTGCCCGGACTATGGGACCGCAACATAACAGTCTCCTTGCATATTGTATTTCTTATCCAGTGTATTGGAATGATAAAAGGTTGTAAGTCTATGGAATTAAAATGTACCAACACAGGATGTCATTACGATAAAGTATTAAGGTTTATGCTTGCGTACAACAAGCAGAAACTAAAAAAATTTGATTCAGGCAAAGGACGCACGCGCTCTGGCTATATTGTGCACCTGTATCGGACCTTTTTTTAAATATAAATTAGGCAGCCATTTTGGCCATTAAAAACCGTTCATCTCAGAATTTGATTGGTTGTAATACTATTGTACGGGATTTATCAAACTCAAAATGCTATCTCATACCTCACAGGAGATCAGAGACAATGGTTTCTACGACAGGTTGATTTGGATGTCGAGTTCCTGAAGGGGTTTAACATCATGGACTACAGTCTCCTGATCGAGCAGCGGGCCATCCACTCCATCGAGCGAGAGAACGACGGAGAACTGGCCGACTTGGTCATCAGAGTCACTTAAAGACATAGTATCGAAACCGAGTCTTTTAAATAATATAGTTAAAAATAGTATTGATAGCTTTACATTGCATGAAACACAAGCACAGATGGTTAAGTGAGTTTCATGATCTGCTACCTGACAATACACCTTCCCGGTGAATTACTAAAGACATAATCAGGACAATGTCGTCTGGTCGACGAATTGAAATTGTTTGGGCTTTCGTTTCAATCTAAGTGTCAGCAGAAATCTTCGTTTAATCGTTGGGCTACCCGTACTTTGTATCGAGCTGATGCATGCATTAGCCCGATATCCCCCCCCCCCCCACTCCATAATAATAATAATAATAATAATAACTATTTCTTATATGGCGCTTTTTCAGGAGGGCCCTATCAAAGCGCCTTACAAATATATATATACTATTACCCCGGTCATCGGATTCAAGGCTTACCCGCACACAATGTATGCACATTCTCCACTCCCTGGGGAGCATTCCAGCCAGGCGTCATTTTTACAAGCGCACACTTGCTAATCTAAGCACATTAGCTTTCGCATCCTACCGGGTACCCATTTAACACCTGGGTGGAGAGTGGCAAATGTAGATCAATGTCTTGCCAAAGGACATTAGTGCCGCGGTGGGACTTAAACCGCGGACCTTGTGATCCACCGTCCGGTGACATATCCACTCGTCCACGACACCTCTACAATCCAAAATGTTAAAGGACAAGTCCACTCGAAAAAAACTTACTTTCAATAAAAGCAGAAAAATCAGACAAACCAATCAAAAAAAGTTTGAGGAAAATCGGATAACTATTAAGAAAGTTATGAATTTTTGAAAAAAGTATGTAAAACTATGGAACAATGAGAATCACAACACAAATTGCCAAGATGGTTATCAGTTTGTGACGTCATGTCCTCACAACTTATCAATTGCTTTATATAGTTTTATCCCATTAATTTCCCTTTTTATCCCCCAAAACTTGATTTCCCCATGCCTTTGCCAAGGTTATATCATTTGTATCATATTGCGTGCATGACATTTCCCAAAAACTTTTATGAATTTTGAATAAATGATACTATTTTCTGAATATTCTATTTCATAATTATTGATTTTTATATAAATAGTTTATCAAAATTCAATTTTTGATGATTTAACTGGACATAAATTACTCTTTATTTGTGCATCCACACATACAAATATTAATAACAATCTAACTTGGATGCTGGTGTGAAGAAATAAGATTCTTAGGGTGCAAATAGGAAATTTATATTATCAATATAAAGAAAATAGTTAGTGGATAGTGAGGACCATACGTCACAGACTCATGAGTGAGTTGCCAATTTTTGTAGTGATTTTCAAAGTTTTTCATGTCATTAAAAATTCATAACTTTCTTATTAGTTATCCGAGTTTGCTCAAACTTTTTTTGATTGGTTTGTCTGATTTTTCCTGGTTTTATTGAAAGAAACTTATTTTTGGAGTGGACTTGGGCTTTAACGAGTAGTGATGCTCCTCAGTGTGTCAAAGTCATCGAATCCGATTTCTAAATTGAAGTTATTGCCTGATTGGTACGAGCTAATTAATCAGCGTCGTTATAATTTACAGCGTTCGAGCAGTCATCAAATGGACTTGCACTCAAGACTTTGTAGATTTAAAGATCGTGGATTATGCCAGCTGGCAGTTATATAGTATTACAATTGTGATCCTCATGTTATCTAAGGAGAATGTGAAATAGAAGATCCAGCAGTCACCTTTCTTAAATTCCAAACGCAAATACTACAAGTTATCTAGTAAATTGTTTTTCAAAAATGTAATGACTTTGTATTATTAATTGTGTGCAGGTCTACTCGTGGGATTACGAGGACAAAACCTACAGTCGATGTTTCCAAAAACAGCCAAAGGCCCTCATCCATGACAGGTTCGAATGCAGGAAGCTCAATCATGGATGGAGCCATTGATCTCCCTGGAACTGTCAGTAGCGCCGAAGATCAAACCCTCGATGTCGACCTCACCCACAGAAGCGACGTCAACCTCCGAACCGACTTCCAGTACAACACAAACGTGAAAGGCAGCCAGGAGATGTCCGAGGATCTAGGAGACTTCGAGTTGGGACGCGTCCACAGGGACTCCTACAAAACTACAAGCGGAGAGGGCGCTTCGTCGAAGACAACGCTTCAAGAACACAACCAAAGACTCCTGCCGAACGTGCATAACGCTATCCACGTTGTCGATGGTGAAAAAGATCGTTATTTTGTTGGAGTGATAGACATTCTTACTCAGTATAATTGGAAGAAGAGGATGGAAACGATGCTCAAGTCCTGTATCGCTCCAAGAACGCCGTTTTCTTCCGTGAGTTCAGAGAAATATGCCAAACGATTTAATGATTATGTCGCCGCGCATACAGAATGAAAGTAAGACGCGGCGCCGCCGTTTCCCCGACTCCGTTTTCCTATCCTCAGTTCCTTTAATCAAATGAATGGATTATGAGAAAAGACAATCAAAGATTCAAATTTGTATTGTCCACGTTAAAAAATTAAATTGGCCTCCCCTGGCAAAAGATAACAATAAGCAACATAAGAATACATGAATATGCACAAACAAAAACATCAATTAGATTTACAAACAAATTTGAATACATTATGTCAAAGGTATAATAATAAATAATAATAATAATAATATTTACTTTTTATATAGCGCTTATCACAAATGTCTCTAAGCGTTTTACAAATATAAAGACCTACGTTAAAAAAGGGGAGATAGCAGAGTAAGATGATAGACCGAAAAGGGATGAAGGAAGAGCAAGAAAGAACAAGAATGTAGGTAAGGGGGAAAGAGAGAATAAAAACTGGTGTCCTATTGTGCCTCCAAACATCTGCTTTACTAAAGTTTTTTTTTTTTAAGTAAAAAGGCAGCGGCCCCCACTTTCAAAAATCCAGCAAAACCTCAAACCAAACAGGCAATGATAGAATGGGACAATTTCCTTTTTATAATGGCATCTGTCATGTAAGTTAGGTAGCTTGCGTGAGCGGAAATGAATACAGAAAAAAAGGACTATAGAAGCAGAATTTGTGCTCCTCCCACAATTTATTCCACGCTTTATTTCTTCAGAGATTAAGGGCTAAGGTTAATGTTGGAATTGCGTTCTAGTTATTAGAAACGTTTAGAGGTGGGCGTAGTGCTGTTCGGTTAGTGTGGGAAAATGAGGGCAGAGACATTTTCGTCTTGGCGAGATACAAAATAGTCTTCCCCTCCAGTTAAGGAGACGGACTTGGTAATTATTATCTACTCATCGTCGAACTATCCAGGACCGGAGCGTCGAGAGGCCATTTCGAATGTGGGATATCGAACCGATTTTGCCCGTAGTCAACTGAAAATGTCCAAACAGGCATTATTTGTTGTGCAATGTTGAAATAATTCTAATGATTATCAAGTCGTTCTCGTATAACAAAACAATGCAAATGCTTCAATGTTAAAAATCGTTAATCATCATAGCCTTCTCGTCAGCCTGTGCGTTACATGTTGAAATCAAATTATTGAGAATGATATTGATTTCAATTTATATTTCATGGTCTTTTCTTAATCGAACCAGAAAGACGTGAAATAATCAATGAATGACTGTATATATTTCGTTTAAAAATCAAGCTGAGCTTCTTTCCTTTTTACAGATATATTTATTATGAGTTGTACTAGCGATTGGTGCAAAATGCAGCTTAGTATTACAATAATGCATTCCACTTCTGCCTTTAATAATGCAGCTCGATATAGTATTGGTATGATATCGGTGCAATGAATCATTATACATTAGTATTATTATCATTATTGGTTGATATATGTTTTGCATGTTGTACATAATTATACGTATATCGCATCACTCTTTTCATTGAATGTTATAAATTAATATGACACTTTAAGCAATATTAAAATCAACCTAAGGTAGTAGACCTGTTAACTAAATTTATACAACCTTTTAAAACATAATTTTCGCTGAGCTAATGAAAAGCTTATTATATGCTAGCCCGACATAGCAACAGCTCTTGAATGCAAACTTCCATCCATAGAGATGGCATTTTGCATAGCAGGTGAATAAACCATTTGGTGTTCGGGAGAAACATTCATAAGTTAAAATATACTGATTGGTTAAAGGTAATACAAAGTTTTGGAAAATTTTGAAAATTGGCTGGATAAAGATTCTTTACAATTTTGAAATATTTGGATGCCCTTGTGGATGTATTAAAAGCACTAAAAAATAGCCCCTAAAACACTTCTGCTTTCGAGAAAAATTGAATATAAAAATTTACCGGTGCTCCCGGTAAATTTCGATAATTTTCAAATAGCGCCTACGGCTATACAATGATAGCTGCGACCACTATGAAAATCTCAGAATGTGTAGTTGTGATATATAAGTTCCAAACGGGAATAGCCAATTGGTATATTTTAGTCAAGACACATTGTTTTATAGCTAAATTAATATCTCGACCTTGAGAGGGAGCTATACAACGAAAAGAGTTTATTATTTACAATTTCATCATTTTAGACTCGATTTCAACCGCGACAATGATCACTGAATATTGTAGGATCGCATATGTTTCCAATATGTTCATTTGAACCCAATTCATGACCCCTTACCAAAAACTTTGTAATACCTTTAAAGGTCGGGTGACATCCAAACATAAGTTGATTCGTATTGATGTGAAGGGCTGCATACAACTCATATTTTGTTATTCAAACATTTAAATATATTTCATAGATTTTTTTGAAATTGCTCCAAATCTCATTCATCTTGTAACATCATATTTCAATCATTAGTGAGCTAACAAGAGACAGTGGTATGTAACTTCCCCCAGCTCAGCACAATACTTAACAAAATAATTGCATTCGTTCATACCCTACCTCCATATTGCCACTTCTATACTGGTATTGTATGGTCTATTGTAAACTGGTGGTCAGCTCTGGTGAAGCTACATACAAATCATGTATAAAAATTATATATTCACCCGACCTTTTAAAAGAGTTTACAGTGTAAATCTTAGTCGTGTCTTATGAGACATTTATTGCATTTGTTTGAATGAAAGTTGTCAACTATTACTATGATTACAGCTGGTTTAAGTATTCATACTATTTTAATAATATGTAAATTCAACCTCAAAGAGTATTCATATTTTGTAATTATATCGAGTGCTATTTTCTATTGAATCAATTAATCAATCAATCAATTAATCCTTATGTGCAATGCTTATGATCACGAATCTACCTATATAGTATGTTTTTTGTTTTTTTAAAGCAGAGGTGTTGCATTTGCAGTGGACTTCTAGACAACGTTTTGAAAATAGTTACCCTTGTCTTTCATGTCATCATGTGGTACTTGTGAATATTAAAAAATAGAATGCATGCAAAAAAACGAGGAGTTTTAATCATTGCACATGGTTTCCAACTTCATATTAGCTTCACCACCAATTCTCTCCTACCCCCCCCCCCCCCCTCTCTCTCTCTCTCTCTCTCTCTCTCTCTCTCTTTCTCCCGCTTTTTCTTCCATCTCTAACCTCTCCCCCTCCTCTTCCCCCTCTCTTTCTCTTTCTCCTGCTTCTTCTCCCATCGCTAACCCTCTGTCCCCCTCTCCCTCTCACTCTCTCTTTCTTTCTTCCACTTCTCTCTACTCCTCTCCCTGATCCCCTTCTCTATAGTGTTATTATATGCATTATTTGAAAAAAACATAGAATCATATAGCCTTGATTCAGAAAAAACAACCTCACAAGCAACTGCAAAATCATACATGAACAAATATGAAGTTAAGAATCTTATAAACCTACATCATTTTCTTAAGTATCTTCTTTTTTTCACACGCGATTCATAATTTTTTTTAAATACGTTTACAAACGAAATAATGCCACCATTTTTTTTGTTTTCAGGCAAGAATAGATTTATTCATAACCATAGGTTCCACATATTTACACAGTTTTCACTATGAATGATAAGACCTCCTGGTCTACAATTTATACAATTTTCTGACTAAGAATAAGAATTGCACTTTAACATACCAAAGAAACCCCTTAAATCCAATAAAGGCAAAAAAAAGTAACTGTATAATCATTATATTCAAAATCCATAATTGATCAATTTATGATTCCAATTAACTCACTTCCAGAATTAATTCTTAGTAAAAACAAAAATATACTTCAAAAGTAAGACTGATTGGCAGCTCAAATGTGGTCTTGAGTCAGTTTTAAATTATAAACCCATATTTGTTTTCTTTTCTCAATAATTCCTGGACAAAATGTCAAGATAATTTTGGATTTTAAAGCAACTGTAATTCTCAGTGTGATCTAATCTGTGTACTATGTTGTTCTCCCCTATTTTTGTTTAAGCATAAACACATTACAAACAACGACAAAATCGACAATAAGAACATACTACATGTATCGAGTATATGAATGAAACATTTCCTATTAAGCCTATTGAAATCTAACTTGCTGTTGATATTGTTAACTTGCTTTAATTTGTATTTTTACTATAAAGGCAGGATTATACTAACCTTGCATGAAATTGTAAGCAGAGTATGTTACAGATATACTGTATGTGCCTTAGCAAAATATAAAACCATTCAATAATATCAATTGGAGTGTAATTAATGTAAAAACAACAAAATTGCAGTAAAACTTATGGCATTTAAGGAGAGCATGTTTATACTGTATGTGCCATGTACACGGTAGCAACCATGAAAGGTTATCGGCAATTCTACCAATGTTAAAGTAAAAAACATGAAAATTAATACAAAACAAAACTGCAGTAAAATATCTTAGAACTTAAAGTTCCATAAATCTTGTTATGTTTCTCACAATGGTAAAATTAATCCATACAAGAAATGCATAAAATGAAGATTGAAAGCACCTTTGAAAAAAATATTTGTCCATACATATTACTTCAACAAAAGATTGCATTTCATTATTTCATACCCTGAGAGCAGGAAGGGCATAAGAGCATATCATTTTACAAACACCTAACGTGGCTCTCCGCGGACAACTTGTGTACAAGGCGTTGGCATTTGTGCGGTGTAATGTCTTAGGCAAGTAATCCATTTCAAAAGAAGTAACAAAATTGAATCCTTTGCTGCAGAAAATCTTATAACTTATCGTAGTACAAAAAGTTAACCTTGCAAGAACACCCTGAATATCCAAGTACTTGTTTCTTTTCAAAATGTTGGCAATTTATCTAGCCTAAATTGTAGGTCTATATTCCATAAGCTATGAATGGCTTACAATACATACTAGTACTTTACTAGCAATAGAAATACATATATTGAAATAATTATAAAATAGAATTCTCAACCCCAATTTCATTGAATATGATGACAAAAAGTGTACAATAATTTGTATTTAAATCTTACAAAGACTTAAAGTACCAAATTTGTTGAGTTTTCCTTAAATAATGATTACTGTCATTTACCATGTCAGAATCAAATCGATAAATACTGTGAGTATAATGAAATATACACAAATATAGAGGTTTGCAGGTATAATACACATTATAACAAGTACTGTATTTGAAGTAATATATCACCTTTAAAATATATTTACAAATGGCTTCTCTTACAGTACTTTACAGAATTTGCCCTCTGAAACAGACTTTAAATACTTTTATTTAAATGCAATATACAATGTTGGTCAGAGTCATGGACTTACTGTCTCTCTAGAGTTACTCATGGTGTATTCAGTTGGTCTAATTAGCCTTATCATAAGATATCTAAGACTTGATGGTCACCCTTAGAAAAGTAAGGTCATCTATTTCCTGACAACTTTAACTCTGACTTGTACCAACATGAAACACTGTGTATCACATTTAATTACATTAAGAAGATTTCTATCTTTTTTCTTCTTCAGGAAGATTTTTTAAATTTTCTTTCCGATACAGGCAAGAGTGCTATTTTACAATGGGATACATCTTGAAAACTAGATCACAGTAAATTTCAAGACACACAATACTGATATCTCCTTTCACAATTCTACACCTACACTATTTTTACATAATTAGTATATTGTACATGTAGGTATTTGTTCAAAGAGTCACTCTGCTCCTGGCAAACGTCACACACATTAATTGTTTTTTCTAAAATAATTTGTCTCTGAATTGAAAGAATGATATATATTTCTATAATTTAGATTGTTTTGACTTTTTTGCCGAGCATATTTTCTCATTACAGCGTTAAAAAATGGTATTACAGCCAGCATGGGCTATTCTTAGAGAGATAATGACTAGCTATTATCAAAGATTAAGTGAGAAAAATACTGATTACATTTTAATTCCAGGTTCATTTTTATATTCAACTCCCCAGAGTCCAATTATGATAATGCCTCATTTCGAAGGAAATAAAATATTGACAGAGCTAATGTAACTGTAATAGCATTGTTACAACATGTATAGCAATAATTGAAAAACATGACATACATCCAATTACTTCTACTTTTATTATTGTTTATTTGAATACATGTACATTTCAATAATTTCAGGCAAATTGCTTCCTCTTTCCCCCATGATGGAATACACATGGTACAACTCATGATACTTCTATTACCATCACATGTATATATTCACACATTAGATGTCTCACTTCTTACACTAGACAAGAGCAATTCTGGTCCTTTTACAGAAATAAGTTGAGGGCAGTGAGTCAAAAAAAAGTCCAAGCAAAACTTTGTTCATGTTATACACACAAACACATTATCTTAAGTCAAATTCTTTTCCGTAAACTGCAGCAGCATATAAACCTCACTTCAAAGTAAGTATTTAAATATGGAAAAGCAACTGAATATTGCACTTAATCTACTTTGCACTGAGTAGAAATGCAGCACCTATGCTAGTACAGTGAAACCTGTCTATTAAGACCCCCCAAGGGAGACAAGAAAAGTGGTCTTTATAGGCAGGTGGTCTATATGTACAGGTTCCTTTAGTACATGTTTCAATGAGAAACCATTTTCATGGAAACAAAAAATGTGGTCTTTGTAGACAGGTAATCTTTCTATACAGGTGGTCACTAAAGCAGGTTTGACTCTACAAAGAAATTTTAGCTAGACTTTGGATGGCTTAAATGAAATTACAGGTACAGGGTGTTCCATCAAAAATCAGGGCCCTCTGTGGAGCATGGACACTGCTTCTTGGTATTTCCAGTCACATAGATACAACCTCCATTTAGGCTAATCTTAAGTTATGGTAATGGTAGTCCATCTCAAGAGGTACAGGTAGTAATTCTGAGTTGTGTATCAATCATGCAGTTGATGAGCTGTTCTAGTTTGAACCAGGCATATTATAGAAGGAACAGGGCTTGACATGGTCAATCCCGACACCACCTTCTAAAATAGCTTTGTGAAGCCCTGGAAATACTAACAGAAACTTACTGGAAATCAGATTCACTAAAAAAGCACAACTCTTCTTGCAAAGAAGAGACTGCATATTTTGTGCACTAGACTATTATATGTAACTGTAGGACAATGTACTTTACCATTCTTTGCTAGAGTTACTCAGTTATGTTATGGATTCTAGGGGGAAAAATACACAGGGGCCCGGGGCAAATTAGCCCCCGAAATGCCCGAAAGAGCCCTCGAAAGTCATAAAAGAGCCCCCAAATTTTGCATAGAATTCAATGTAAAACAAATTAAAGAGTGTCATTTTCATGCAAGCAAGCTTGAAAAGTAACCCCCAAAATCGTTTGGCAGATATTAATTTGCAGTCCTCAACAATCTGCAATTTTCATCTGAATCTGAGATACTACCTTTTCTGTCATTACCAGAAATCAAGATTATCTTCAATAATATTGGCAGATATTGTATATTTGAGCCATACATACAAAATATCTAATTGTATAAAAAATGAAATATATTGCATTTTCTTCACTACATAGCGTACATGTTGCTTGAGAGTTGCATTGCTTTTGTAAATGAGATTGTCATGATGTCATCTACCCTAACATTGAAAATATACTACTCATGTTGCCATATTGCATATATCACTTGTTGCTATAAGGGAGTACACTTCATACAAGTTCCCTGGTCAGGAAGAAAAAAGCCTACATGTAACTTTTAGATATACATTATAGGAGCAATGTAGCTTTACAAATAAATACTAATAATAATAATATGAGAATGACAGCACATACACGTATAGCAACTGTGCACCTCATAGTAAGATATTGCAGCCTTATCATGACACCGAGAGAAAAATATTTGTGGTGATGATTATGATGATGATCATAATGATGATTATGAAAATGATGATGGTGGTGATGAGCATACATTGGCAATGATAATAAAAATGAGGAGGAGGGGAGGAAGAGGTGGAGGAAAAGGAAAGAGGAGGAAGGAGGAGGAGGAGGAAAATTTTAATGAATATAGTACTGATGATGACAAAGACAATGATAGAAATGTTACTGATAATGATGTTGATCATAATAATCATCATTATCATGTTGCTGATGATGATAATCTTAAAGATAATGATGTTAATGTTGATGATACTAATCATGACAATAATGATAATGGCGGTGACAATGATGAATAAAACAAGGATGGCAATACTCAAGGTAATCCATATTAGAACTACCAAACCAGAGGGCCTTTCCTCAAAGCTCCTTTACCACATCAATCACATGTCACTCAGTCTAATAGACCACTTTAATAACATATTCCAATTTTAGGCAAAGATTGTTTTGACAAGCCAAGTATTGTAGTTCATACATTAAAAACAGGTCAATGGAATAACTCATCCATAGGTCCGCAGGAAAGAAACATCCATAAATTTGAACATGTTGGTAAACCGATCTATTACCTGACTTTTCTATGTACATGTAGGTGACCTTTCTATCTAGGTTTCCAGGAGAACACACTTGATCTTAACGCCTCTTCCATGTCCTTTTCAGGACACCTCAATCCTCTCTCTCTCTCTCACATGGTGCACCTGCAAGCCTACTGTATATCTTCCATGTTGTTGGCTCAATCCTGCTGAGGTAGTATGGGTGAATCGTTCACTCGTAGGGTGCTCAGAGGATCAGATACATAACCTAGATGAATAAGCAGTTGTAGAGAGTACGGTAAATAAAAGATATATTTTAAGGCTTGAAACGTAATGTTGCAAGACCGGTTCCATATATACTGTAGAGTGCAGTATATTTTCCTTTCTTTTAACTAAATTATTTGTATCTGTTCCTTTATACATGTAACAGAAATTCTCTTCTTCTATAATAAATGTCAGACTCACATTTCTTGTGCAGTTGCTTACTTTAAGTTATGTACCGGTACTTGTGAATAGTTTATGAAAAATAAAAACTTAAAACATATTTACATATCAAAATTACTCAGATGCCAGAAAATGGAAATTTGTTAGTGAAAAACTGAGCAAGAAAAACATAAATCTATTCAATAAAAAGGTTTGACAGTATAATAGCAGTAATAATAATAATAATAATGAGATAAAAATAAAATCACATCATATAGAAATACTTACCATTTTTATCTGTTGCAGGGAAGACACTGCTTCCATTCTTTTCCCCACTGTGGTAAAAAAAATAGTATAAAGTGAATGTTTTAATAGTTTCATGAAGCATATTAGGGGCAAGAGGAGGAGGCAAAGTGAAAATCCCCACATATTTACATGACATGATGAGCATTGAATGAGGCATCTTTCATTGCAAAATATCTATCGATATTTTTTCAATCTGTTGTGTTGATGTTAGTTTACCCAATTGCGATGAGAGCAAGTACAGATGGTACTTATGCAAGAAGTGGACTGCGTGGAGATGTTGGGTTATTAAGAATCAATAATGTTCTAAAGGGCAGTAAGTCATTGCATTAATTTCAAACCTGGGACCTTTCAGAGACAACTGCTCTACCACTGAGGCATCACACCTCTTAAAATCATGAATACTGGTATTGACATAAAAATATCATGTTACTATAAACCAGAGTATTAAAGCTTAAAGTACAATATAATTTGCCTGAAAAAGAGTAAAACTCCAGTCTACTGTTAGAGGGTGTGTACCATGACAAGACTATGTGTCTTTCGTGGCCTGACTCAAGGTCAATCGGGTATAATATGACTATGGACGACGTGACAGCAGTATTCACATGCGTGCAACATACGCGAAACCGAAGCGTGAGGAGAACTTCCGTCTCTTTCGCGAACACTAGCGCACGCTGACCGTTAATCAAGTCCATTCGTTTATGTGCAGTTGTCCAAAAGAAGTAGTAGATGACATTAACCAGTATTTGCCAAGCTACACCCCCTTTTAAAAAAGACAATGAAGGTGTACATATACACTACTCACCTCAGCGACTTGGCACACATTTCCCACTGCGTTCTTAGAGCTGTCACGTTGCCTGCAGGAAGTTCACCTGGCTCCAGGTCACTGGGTGAGGGCTCTAGTCCACTGTATCCCATCTCAAGGCCGTCCTCGCTGTCATCTATTGGAGTAGCCTGGTGAAATAAAGTATGGAAGGGGGTGACGATCAGCATTTATAATAAATAAAGCCTCCCAGTTTTATGGAATGGCCTCCCCAACTCTCTTAGAAATATTAATATAATGGATAAGTTTAAGTCTGCCCTTCAAACACACTGATTCTAATAATAAACAGATGGAACTTGGTAACCTATTTTCTCTTTGCTTTGCTTTTTATTTATTCCCAAGTGCATGGTGACATATATATATATGTAATGTGTTAGGTACTATATAAGAACTTTTGTTTAATGATAATTATTACGCCCAAGAAACAATGGTTCTGAAACATTCAAATGATCAAAATTCTCAGCTCCTGATGGAAAAAACAAAGTATCATATCACGGCTCAAACTGCGGTTAACTTCCATGTGTAAATTTGGATGCACCAAGCAAAATTTTCTTCTTACTTTTCACACCATGCCTTGATTAATACATGTACTGGTACTACAATTGCGACAAAAAATAATTGTTCTAAACACCCCAATACAAATCTGGGTTGCAAACGCGATAATTGTGTCATGCTTAATTAGTCTTCCTCAAACAACTCCTACATGAAGTGAACAAAGTTAGCTTTTAGTTAAAAATGTTATTTCAACAAGTAAACTAGTTTCTTCTAATTGTTCTCAAATTCTACAGACATGTATCTCTATGTAACAATGTATGAAAAGACACATAAAACAGAAGTTTCATGAATACAAATCTCAATCCCCACTAAAAAAATGCTCCAGAATATAGCTTCCTCTGTCAAAGTTAAACACCAAAAAAGATTCTCAACATGAAACTATGCATGATCCCATTGTCAGAGGTCTAAATGCTTTAAAATATCCGAGCATTGTTCATTCTTCTCTATATAGCATGTTCTTCAAATTTCATTTCATTCTTCATAAATGATGGGAACAACTGGGAGGATGGTTTATTAGTATGGTTAATAAAGAACAACAAAGGGCAGCATGCCACACATTACCCAATCAGCATCCAGCATGCTCAGCACACCAGACAGTGTTTTGCTTACGGCCAGGAACTCTTGGCGACAGTCATCCAGCATGGGGATGATCTGGGCAAAGGTTGGCCTCTCCTGCAACAAGACCCAAAGTATAAAATATAGAGAGTTTCTCCTAGGAGAACACTGTACCATTTTGTACGTTGACCTGGAGATATTGATAGTGATTAATTTGTAAGGGCCATGTACAGCAATGGGACGACCCTTGTAAAGAGAATCAATTGATACTAGGGTTTGGATAGAATTCAGAAGAGAAATGATCATAACACAGGGTTTAAACTCCAAATATCATTTAGTAGGAAACGCAACATGGACTGCAGACTTTGAGATGGTACTGACAGTTAGGTGACGAGATACAGTGACTGGTTCGAAGAAAAAACAAACAAAAGAAGGACAGGCCAGGTACAGCAAATGAACAAACCTTGCTAGAGGATTGATACACCCCAGGGTTTTGGACTAAAACTAACCATAAGAACCGTCAACAAAAGACTACACGATTACATTTCAACTTGGCGTTGTGGCGTGCGCCTGTAATTCAGCTAACAATGGAAGTTACAAACTGATTCAGCCGAGGAAGCAGGTTCGAAACTGAGTCACATTTTTCGGATGGTGACGCTTAAAGGTCGGTCCCCAGACGTAAATAATCACATCTGATTGATATACACGTCTGTAAAAACCAAATTTACACACACATAGATTTTTGACAAAAAGTCAACTGGACAATAATCCTACCTCAGGGTTCGGACTCCACATCATCTGCAGGATATTGACGATGGACTTGGGTATGGTGATGGCTATGGGTGGTCTGGTACTGCGATAGGCCATCTCAGCAGCAGCTGCAGCCGGCTTGAGGTGAGCAAAGGGAAGCTCTCCTGAGAGAAGCTCCCATATGCAGAGGGCATAGCTGAAGATGTCTGCCTTGATGCTGTACTGGGTGTTCTGGGAGAAGACTTCCGGCGCCATCCAGCGAAGATTCTAAAATACAAAACATAATAATAATAAAAATGGTGCTTATAAAGTGCTAACCACTGAAGTCTCTAAGAGCTATAACAAACAAAAAACAATGATAAACAATTTCATATATTAAACCTAACAAAAAATTACAAATAAACCTACAAATTACAATACATATGAAATAACATCAATTCATTAGATAAGTATTAGCTCTCCAATATCCAAATCTATGATTGCTTCATCACAGAGAAGTCCGGATGCTGACATCATACGGTAGCATCAGGTATGACTTCTGGTTACAGCACATTTTCTCACCGATAAAAATCTTATATTGATTTCAAGAGCCTTATTTCCCTCTAAAAAAGTCCCGATATGAAAATGACAGAACAAGATTTCCTTTATGCAAGTTGGCAGCACCAATATTTTTCCTTACATACTTTATGCAAAAACCACATTAATGCTGAGAAGCATGTATTAATAATAATAGCTAGTTCTTATATAGCACTTTTCAGGACCGAAAGCCCTCTCAAAGCGCTTTACAGATATATATATATTATTACATACTCATTTTCTTCTTCTGCTTAAGCTGTGCAGCTATTGACATTTTCATTGAAACAGTTAAAAAGTACAATGTCAAATACATAATACAACATCTGATAGATTAAATGACATAATTTAAAAAATAAAACAAATTAAAGGAGAGAAGTTTGAATCTTACTCCTGGTTGTTTGGTCATGTTGTCTTCATGCATGGACTTGACGAATCTGGATTCACCAAAATCTGCTACTTCGGCATGTCCAAACTCATCAAGGAGAATATTGTGGCTAGAAGTTTAAAAAACAAGATAATACAACAGTATAAAATTACATCATAAGAATACTTAATTATCATATACACCTGTAATGTGGTTGGAAAAGAAAGGTTTAGGTTTTAATAGATAATGAAGTAATATCTTATATTCTACTGCATCAAATTCCTCTGAATCGAATCCTTTTTGTTCCAGTGAAATTAAAACATTTTCAATAAAACTTTGAGAGTCAAACCCGGAGCAATTTCTATTTTCATTGACAAATTGTACTTCTGAATTTCTTCCATGAGAACAACTTTCATACAATATGTGCGTATGTACTTCTTTTCTAGGAAGAACAAATCATTACTTTAAGGTGAAATTTATGGTAGGACATTAGGTGAAATTTATGGTAGGACATTATACCTTCTTAAGCACGAATTGCTGCCTTAAAGCCACACTGCACTACTTATAGCTACTTGCTCCCTCTATATAACAAACAATGCATAATCAGTGACCATTGGTCACCCATGATCCTCTTTTTCTTATGTTAATTGAGAGCTGATTTGATGAGATAACCACCTGTCAGTGACCATGCAGGGTAGTCTAATCCCTCCTGTTCACTAGTATTGATGGGCTTTAAAGGATAGAAAATGTTAATGGCTACCACATCAAAGAGATCAAAAATAACAAAACTGACCTGTTTAGATCTCTATGTATGATAGGGTGTGGCAGATTGTGCAGGTAGTCCATGCCATGTGCTACATCCACAGCAATCGTCATCTTGGATTGGAGATCAATGTTTCTGTAAAAATATAAGGTATGATTATGAAAATGTCTGTAAAACAAATTAAATCACATGTTTCAACCCATTTAGAGTGAGCAAAAATTTTGATATTGCTAGGTGCAACTTACCTTCTGTTTTTACAAAAACGTATTCTGCACTTGTTGCTCTATTCCCCCCCCCCCCCCCCCAAAAAAAAAAAAAAAAAAAATGATTACCGGTATAGAATAACATTTACACATAAATACAATGTAGCACTCTCCAATAGACAAGTTGATATTGCTATGTGCAGCTTACCTTCTGTTTTAACAAAAAATAGATTCTGTACTTGTTGCTCTATCCCCCCCCCCCCCTTGCCAAAAACAAAAAGAAAAGAACTTCCATAAAATGTTGTCTTCTTCACTAACAAAATATTGTTGGATTAATGACAGTTTACGTTCCCCACACACATAGCCAGCTTCTACTATCATCATCATCGTCACTTTTATTGACACAAGAGATCACAAATATTAAAACCAATACATACCTCTTTTGAACATGAAGCAACGAAAACAGAGAGCCCCCTGCCACATACTGTGTCACAATTGCAAAATGCTGATGATGAGAATATATGAAATCAGAAAATATTATTCAAATGAATGAATGTGAATAAGTTTTGGAGAATATGTACTTCAAATGTAACTGTCAAGGTGTATTCTGATTTTTTTTTTCCACATCTATTCAAGTATCATATTGTATTTCTGTTTATATATGGCATTTATTTGGACTCAATTTGAGGTTTCCAATCTTCTTTTTTCCTCCATGAATTTTAAAATGAGGCTCTGGAAAGATATTAATTATTTATTATCATCATTCAATCCAGTAAGCAAACTTCATTTCCATTTCATTAATACGACATAAAATGGCCTAATCTACCATAAAATGTATTTTCAATTCTTCCATTTAATATTATCGACACAGTGCAACAAATTTGATAGTAAGGCAATGATGCTCCATGGTTCAAAATTTGACAATAAATTTCTTCTTGGAGTATTGATAAATGTGTTACATATTCACTGAAAAGGAAAGCTTAAATGACTGATATAAACATGATACAATTGGTAATACTTACGCTAGGGTCCTCTATACAAGCTCCAACAAAGCGTATCACATAGGGGCTGTCTAGTCTGCATAGTATGGACACCTCACGACAGAACATATCCACATCTGACTTGGCGCTGAAAGCACTGGAACGATATCTGGGAATAAAATAGCATGGCAATTGATATATTACTTAACTATGAGGGAGCATAGGAGTAGCGTTATGATGAGTAAACTATTTCCATGCCCCTATATGTATATAGTGAGTACTGGACCATAAATATCACACTCACAATCATAACAAATATCTGAATTTATGCTGGTATCTCTTGGTGCTTTCCTGCATCAGACATAATCATAATAATAATAATAGCTAGTTCTTATATAGCGCTTTACAGGACCGAAGGCCCTCTCAAAGCGCTTTACAGATATATATATATATATATATACAAACACACACACAGTATGTGCAACATCTTCAATTCTTGAAAGTTCTGAATATCTTCCACGTTGTCTCCCTGAAGACATGCAGCAATCATTGTGCCATGGCTTTCATCATCCCATCAGGGGCCTGTTTCATAAAACTCATTATCAATAACATCTGCCACAGATCTACGACAAATCTGCTCACAGCCAATCAACTGTAAGGCTTTCAGTAGCTTATAACAGTTATCATATCTTGTTATTGATAACGAGTTTCATGAAACCGGGCATGAAACACTGTATGGAAAGAGTTGCAAATGTGCCATGCTTCACTTGATAAGGACAGGATGAAAGGAAGTATCATCAAATTAGAAATGACAAGCCTAATAGCCATAGGGGAATGACTAGAGATATCTTTTCCTAATCAATGTCAATGAATTCATATTTTGGTTAGTTTCTATATATCACTACCTCAAGTTACACTCAAGTTTATGGGTTGTTTGATCTTTTATTTACATCTCAACAACCAAAGTTATATTTCTTACCTCTTAATTGCCACAATTTTTCCTCTGCAGTAGCCTTTGTACACATTCCCAAAGGATCCTTAGGGCCAAAAATGGGAAAAACAAGTCATATTTATATTTTTCATCGTTAATTTCAAGAGAGACTATTACATTAAGTAAATAGACACTTATTTGTGATAGGGATTTGAGTACATGTATATGTATATACACAATTTTCATAGTAAATACCAGTAAAATGACAAAATCTACTTAAATATCTTTTCATTGAATCTCAACTACTTTAGGATAGGTTGAACTGGTGATATAATTTCAGTATTTCACCAAATGTCTTTGATTATTGTTTCCAGATGACTGAAAGTTTTAGATACTTAATGTTCCACAAGAGTTGGCATAAAGTTCATGAAAGATATTAAAAAGAAGACTTCTTATATTAATCATTTTAAACAAGATGTACATTAAATAAAAATCGATTTGACTTACCACTCCCAATTGTTTCAAGGAATTCTATCTCATTAATGTCCAGATGAAAGTTCTTGGGTAGCGATGCTCTCAGTTGTAACACATTTATTTTCTCTGCAAAGAACCAATATGAAAGGAACATTAGTATTTCTACATTTTCTAGCTGACTTTCGTTAGTGATGTGCAAATACACTTTCAATATCAACCATGAGTTAAACCTTAGTGGTATATAAACAAATTAAAAACAAATAAAAAAACATCCACTATTATCATTGTGGTTCTGGATGTTATCATCCTTTTCATAAATATGTTTACAGGAAGGAAATACAAGGCAGATTTGGCAAGAGTTGCATACTAAAGTTATATTTTTAAATTAGTGTGACATTTCTTGAAAGATATGTTTCTAATGTTTTCTTCATTAAGTCTATTGTCTATGTTCACAATAATATCAGACAGTCATAGATGTATACGAATTTGGCCAAGGGGCTGATGTCTTTTCCAGTTTCTCAAAATTTGCAAGACATCAAAAGTTATGATACTTCATTATCGTGTAAATGTAACCTTGTCATCAAAATATACTACATAAGGTATGAATTTACAAAATAGATACCCTCAGTCCTCAAATATAAGATGACAACACCTGAATTCGGTGGTATTTTGGCATCTCAAGGGACTGCATCCCCCCCCCCCCCAACTCTCCGTCCCAATCTCTGTACAGTTAACACCTCCTACAAATATGATTACGATAATCACCTTTTGTAATACATCGTAGTCTGCCCAAGGGAGATGGAACAGACACATAGGAACCATCTACAAAGCAAAAGCAAAAGCAGCAAATAAATAGAACTCTTGTTACACATGTGCCTTCTAGGAGCAAATAAACATATCGAGCAAACTGCTGCAAAATACGGTGCTATTATACAAAATTGACTAAAGAAATTGCAATGAAAAGTCAACAGAGATACAACTACCGGGTAATATAAATAATGCACTGTTTGCAAAAACAAAAACAAAAGTAAGACAAATTCAAAAAACATAGTAAGATTCAAACCAAAATAAGGGTAGAACATTATCTCCAAACACACGCACACATAGTGAGATCATATTGCAAGATCTTTTAAAACAATTCATAATATAACCACAGATAAATACTTTTTAAATTACAAAGGATTACTATAAGTGATTAGCAAAAACAAAACAAAAATTCCTCAAATGTGAGGGGAAAGACAAAAGTGCATTAACCTCCACCTGGCTGTGAGTAGTCTCCACAAGCAGACTCATCTTGGGGTCTTTTGTGATGCTTCAGTAACGTCACAATGGCATCATGACCTACGGGTTACAAGTAGACAAACCAGCAAAGACTCATCAACATGAAAGCCAAACATAACTACACTGTGAAATACACATCGTAATTTAATTCAACTGTTGTAATGGATGATTTGTATACATTTCCTCAACTTCCTTGAAATTTATAGTTTCAAATAATTGAAGCCTATAATTTTCGCAGCTCTAGCTGAAGACAATGATGCCAATTCAATTGAGCAAATAATTGTGGTACATACACTTTTTATTTCCACCTTTCACATTTCACTTTCTCACTCAAAAACTCTAGATTCTTTTAGGAAGAAACCTTACTGCAATAAGGAAAGTTACACGGTCACAACTAGTTTCCAGGACAGGTATTCTATATGACCAAAATGCTCTCGAAAATAATTAGGTTTATTTCTATTATTCATTTCAACAGGGTAGACCTGTAGGTAGTTGAAATACTTTTTTACTTGGAGGCCCTGTACAACATTTCACTCATAAACTTTGATCATGTGATAATTTCATTCAGTCATTTTCAATTATGCATTTCCTAATTTGTGAAGAAGGTGTGATTGCGTACGACATATGCTCATCCAAAGAAAAGAACCATATACTCTGTTATTTATGAACTGTTGAGAATACTTGTATCATAGCTGCACTATATATACTTATCTATCATTATCCTTCTTTAATAAACAAATGTGTAATTCAAAATATTTCAATGTTGAACAAAGCCAGTGAATACCTCTTTGGTAAGCCCAGACTAAGCAGGTCTGTTCCTGGTCTTTCTCAGAGTCCCCATTCTGCTCCGTAGCGACTAGATTCATGTCTGCCCCTTGGTCTAATAGAAGCTGGACTAAATGGTAGTGCCCATGGTAACAGGCACTGTGAAGAGCTTTAAACGAATGAAAAACAATGATTTTTAAGGAGTTAATCAAGTAGTAGGTCCCACTGGGGTTCTGTGTGTGTAGTTTTATGCTATTCTCTATTTTCTCCACTCCTTATCTATTAGCCCATATTTTAACAAATGAGCAAAGTCTCATCTTACAAATGCTTTTAATTTTAGAGTAGTAAGGCCAAATAAAATAAAAAACATGTTTAGTGTCCTGCCTTTTTGAAAAGTAGGAAGGAGGAGGCCCTTTTTTTTCTTTCAAAATGGCCGCTCGGTAGATATTCCCTGACAGTCGGGCTATTTTTCAAGATGGCCGCCGGCAATTTTTTTTTTTTTTTTTTTTTTTTTAAATTCAGAATTAGATCCATTTTAGCAGTGTTTTTAATGTTTTTTCTTTAAATTAAAAAAAAGAAAAAAGAAAGGATAAGGAGGCGGCCCTAAACAAAAGGAAGCGGGCGGGGACGCTAAACATGTATATTTTTGTTAATGGCCTAAGGCCTATGTTTCCTCTCAATTACCTGTGTGTCCGTCTCTGCCTTGCGTGTTGATGTTCACACCTTCCTGACTCAACAGATACTTCACAAGCTCTATATTCTTGCCGTACGTACATGCGCTGTAAAGAAAGACAGAAGAAATCATACCATTAAAGAATTGAAGATATCATCTGTTTGGAGCCAGAAGAGCATTAACTTACATACTTTAATACAGAATTAACACCCTTCTGGCTCTGAGCAGATGATATGAAAAACACAAAAGATATCATAGTAAAGGCACAAACTCCACCCCCCCCCCCCTTATATAAATAATAACATTTTTTTGTTAAAGTAAAGGGGGATAACAATTCAGAATTATAATTAAGGTGAAATTTGTTTTTATGCATTATTAACAAGTTAATGAAGAATTCTTGAGAGTGAAAAGAAATATTCTCTATTGGATTAGGATGCAAAATTTTGTTTTAGTAGACACAAGTAATTAGGGGGGGGGAGGGATGGCACAATACTTTTTACATAATGCATTCATTTGGACTGTATCATTTTAGAATAGATTGAATGTACCATAAAATCATGAGATAAACAATGTTTTCTATCACAAAATTTAAACATAGTTCAAGCTATTCAAAGTTCAAATTAAATTTTAGTTCAGGAAAACTGCAGCTAAATAACAGTAGCAAATACATATCAAAATAGTAAGTGTAACATATAAATGCCATACCTGTGTAGAGGTGCTTCACTAAATATATTCTCCACCAGCAGACTGGTAGGTCCTGTCTTTGTGATTAATGACTTGACAATATCCAGTCTCCCTGTGTAGCATGCTCTGTGGAGAAAGGAACAGACTGGTAATCATTTAAATACAAAGTACATACTTGAATGGGTGTAATACACATCATATCATGCCTCTCCAGTACAACGTCAATGAAGTAGACGTCAGTTCACACTTGTCAGTTTTAGGAGCAGGGTAAAAAGAGGCAAAACGATGGATAAGTCGTCTTCAATATTGTTTTGAGAGTGGCATTGTGGTAAGAGATTAAGGTATCGCTGCAAAATGCTTTGTGGCCTTTGGGGCTTTGAGACCTGAATGTAATTATATTTTATCTACAGCACATAGACAATCATTTCATATCTTAGACTTTATAAGAAAGCTTTTCGAGTGATTGATACAACCCCATGAACTCCCCCCCAAAAAAAAAAAATAATAATAATAAATAAAATAATAATAATAATAATAATAATAATAATAATAATAATAATAATAAAATTAATGAATAAATTTTAAAAAATTAATAATAATAATAAATACAATATACAGAATAATTCTCTAAACACAGAGTAATGTTTGGGTACTGCACACAACAACAAATGGCACTTACAGGTGTAAGGGTGTATCCCCGTATATATTAACTTCATGGGCTTTGGTGCCTAGGTTAGGCTGAAGAAGATAATCGACTGTGGTCAGGTGACCTGCTCGGCAACTGAAGTGGAGCGGCATATGCTGCTCATTGTCTTGAGCATTCACTGGAAAAAAAAGTTTAAATATCAGATGCGATGACTCTCAGTCATGGTAAATTTAGCAAAGTGAGAAAAAGAGGGAAAGGGAACAAATCATTGAAAAACATTTTGTTAATTATAACAGAAAAAAGGTTCATTCCATGATGAAACTGTAATGAAACTAGGAAAGAAAAATATAATCTGGCAGTTCAAATCATATTGACTTGGGTATGATTAGATTTCGATATTATTTACATTTTTTATTCCACAGGCTTTGCATTAATAATAATAATAATAATATAATAATAATAATAATAATAATAATAATAATAATAATAATAATAAATAATATAATAATAATAATAATACATTATATTTATATAGCGCTTATTTCAATGTTCCTAAGCGCTTTACAAAGTTGTACTTATATAATAATACATTCAATAACTATAATTAATATATACTAATCAATCTACAATTAATTCATTCAACAAGTTAAGAGAGCCAAAAAGCATCGATCCCATCATAATAAGTGTAGAGGAACAGCATGCTATCTTACCATCAGCCTTGTTATTGCGACGACCTTTGACCAGAAGCTCTGTGATGCTCTGGTGACCTTTGACACAGGTCAAATGAAGGGGCACATCACCGACCTCACCAGACAGGTTGATGTCAGCACCGTGGTTTATAAGACATTTGACAACCTTCAAGAGGATGAGAGGGTTATTAAACTAGGTGCACACACTCTAACAAGCCACAAGCCTGGCTTTCATTGTGTTCACCATTTTCCAACTATCCAGTTGTGTTTTTTTTAATGTAGTTTGTCAATACTGAATTATGTATTATATACCGGTAGTATACTTTTCCCTTTTCTTCACCTTGTTTCTCATTGAATGCTTTACTTGTTTTGTTTTCTATCTTCTTAATCGTCTGATTGAAATGGCAGTTTTATGTTTTTATTGCCCATTGACTGTTTTTAACACACTCTTTTAGTTGATGTTGGAAATTGGAAATAAATGATTTGAATTGAAATTAGAAGGGTCACGTACTGCCTACATGGAGCTATCCTCATGGGTTCTATGTTCTTTATTGACAAACCAAAGTACAACAGAATAAAGCATACTGTACTATGATGCAAATCCAGGACAATTGTCTACATTTTGTGATATGGCTCAGTCACTCTTGATTCGGAGCCCTTCAAACTAAACCAGCTATATATAAAGCAAAAGAGTTTGAATTCTGCATACACTGCTAATATTACGGTACTTAAATATAACCAGCATACAAAACAAGCATGCACAATACATGTACATTTTCAGTAATGCTCCGAATCTTTTAGGTACTTGAAGCTGAGAAGACTAAGGGGTGTAATATTAACATTAGCTCATTAATTTGGCTTATGCCAGTTTGCTTAAAGGGAGTGTAGCATGACGAGACTACGTGTCTTTCCCGTGGCCAGACACTGGATCAATCAGGTATAATATGACTACAGACGAAGCTACCTCAGTATTCACGTGCATGCAACATACCCGAAATCGAAGCGTGAGGAAAACTTTGATCTGTTTCGCGAACGCTACCACGCGCTGACCGTTAGTCAAGTCCATTCGTTTCAGGCAGTTGTCCAAAAGAAATCGTACATGTAGATGGCGTTAACCAGTATTTGTAATGCTACACCCCCTGTAAATACAATCACTTGGATATTGCCATTGCCAAGCCAGGTAAATGTGGACTTACCAAGTACTAAATTGGGTACCAACCAAGAATAACAATTACATTAAAGAGGAACTTATCATTTTCACTTAACATTTTTATGAGGAAGAAAATGAGCACTCCTACCTTTTCATGGCCAAAGTAACATGCTATATGGAGCGGGGTGAACTTGACTGTGTCTCTGGCATGAATGTTTGCTCCACACTTAATCAGATGTTCCACAATCTGTTAAATAGAGAACAATTCAATTCCCTTACAATTTTAGTATCATTATGCACATGGAGATTTACATCATAATGCTCATTTCATATTGCCTCATCGATAGGGGTAGCTGGGTTATACTACATGTACATTTACCTAATATGCAGATGTAAAAAGTAATTCATTAACACTTATTTAAGGTCAAAGTGTAAACATGTAAACTTTACTAACGGATGCTGGAACTCTTCATTTGCCATGCAATAATCCCACTGTGCCTAAATACAAATAGCTCAATAAATTGATATACCAAAAGCTTTTAAATTGTTCAATGTTTTCAGAGTAAAACTAATCTCCTTACATGTTCCAATGATTATTATGTAAGTAATGGAGACCAGCAAGGGGTAATTAGGCAAGCTTTTTATCTTTCATAGAACTATTATTCTTTTAATTGGACCTTTTGTCTTGTACAGATTAGCATGTGTAGCAAGCAGACGACTGTGCAGAATTGGCACTGGTGGCATGTGAAAAGTTAAGAGGTCATAATACCTCTTCATTTCCATTCAAGCTTGCAATATGCAGGGCAGTAACTGAGCTGTAACCAATCACTGTAGGGTCTGCTTCCTCTAACAGTAAGTCCTTCACCAAGTCTACATCACCCTGTGAGCAAGAAAGAGAGATGGGGAGGGAGAGAGAACGAGAGAGATAAGGGGAGGGAAAGAGAGGAAGAGAGAGGGAAAGAGATGGAGAGAGATAAGGGGGAGATAAGGAGAGGGATGGAGTGAGAGGGGATAAAAAGATAGTAAGACATTGAGTGATGGAGGTAAAAAAAGAGGGGGGGGGAGAGATTGTGTGAGCTCCAGCATGGACCAACAACTTCACAATCTCCACTCCCTGGGGAGTATTCCAGCTAGCTAAACTAAACTATGAGTGACTATTGATGTAACATACCTGAAAGCAAGCTAGATGCAATGGTGAGAAGCCGTTCCTACTCAGACTACTGACCCTGGCTCCAGCATGGACCAACAACTTCACAATCTCCACTCCCAGGGGAGCATTCCAGCTAGCTAAACTAAACTATGAGTGACTATTGATGTAACATACCTGAAAGCAAGCTAGATGCAATGGTGAGAAGCCATTCCTACTCAGACTACTGACCCTGGCTCCAGCATGGACTAACAACTTCACAAACGGTTTCGACCCTGCAGTAACGAAAAAATCAAAAATTTGAGTCCTCATTTAATATAGCTTAGTAAGTAAAATGTACAATAAAACTAAACGTTTTCAGACATAAAACTTGTGAAAATTGGTAATGAAATACTGTTGGGAAACAAGATACTTTCGCAAAATGTACACATACTTTGATAGACTGCAGTTCAACTTTTTAAATGTCAAAACTGTCATGAATCGTAACAATTTGTGACATTCATGAAAATTCGATAATTTGTATGAGCAAAAGATTTTTTAATTTCATAGATGACTCACTTTTACAAAAAAGTATTTAATGTTTGAGGAACTAATCTCACACTGCAAAAACAATAAAAACACACAGTAAAAACCTCTAGAGTGCTCAAATGAAACAGTGACTATTATTTGTTATTCCATTTGTTTAAACAAAAATTGGAGATGGTCTTTGAAATCAATGAGAAGGCAAATGAAAAAAGATGTATAAAAGTAGATCAGATCATATCAATCCTTCATGTTTTCTCAGCCTTTGAGTTTAAGATTTAGATTCATTCATGCTTGATTGCCTTGGGTTTTTTTCTTGTTATTTACTTTTTTTTCTCCATATTTTGTTTATTACATAGGTATAAATGTTCATGTCTTGACAGAGAAAAGTTTGAACATCTAAGCTCCCTCAAAATGATCTCTCTACAAGAAAATAATCAACACTTGGAGACTGGTGCACACACTCTCCAGGATAACCATACCTGTTGATATACAGCTGAGATGTAAAAGAGTGAGTCCAGTCTCTGTTTTAGTGACCACACATCTCTCATCAGCTAGCTCAAGTACCCTGTCTGTATCACCAGAACTGCAATATAAATAATAGTCATATATTAATATGTGTTATACAAATTTAAATCTATTCTTAAAAGATACACAATGTAAATCTAATTTGTTTTCATTTTAACAGCCATGCCTAATTGTGTTCTGTGGCAATACTGCATACATGTTAATATCAAATTATGCATATATATACATGTATCATAATTTTAAAGATAAAGACCAGTTATGGTCATGCGATTGCATTGTGAAAGAAACGTTGTGGAATCGATCAGAAAAGGTTGATCATCCAGCATATAAGTATTGGTGTGTACTGCAAGGTTCTGGAATCATCAAAATGATAAGAAATTTGGCCAAGTCTTCGTAAAGTTACAAACACTGTACACAGAAAGATGTATATGGGACTACGCACACGTGCGCGACACGTGCGTTTATCTCTCACAGTCCAATAGATAAACTAATTTACCAAATATATCAATTAGTAGGCGGTTTCCCGGCAAAATTTTTATCATCATGTATTAGTCAAAACATATTCTTTCACATGATTGGTAATAAGAGCTTCCATTTCATTTTTTGAAATTGGGGCGTTTCTAATAATGGTCTTTACCTTTAAAACAAAAGAATTGTTTTTAAATGCTTTCTTTTTTCTTTTTCACAGCCTTCTGCCGAGCACACAATATGAGCTAATTTGTAGATACAATCTGCACAGGGCAGAATAATTGAAACTTGTATTGAATTGAATTGAAACAGAATTGTAAAACCTACCAAGTCGTCTAGACGAATAATGGAAACATGCTCGTGACTGTAACCATCATTTATAAATACACTGTTGGTACATTCTATGATACACAGGCGGAAGTATTCTTTTCAAGAGGGCAAACAAAAGGTATTCATGAAACACCTCCATGACTTTGCCTTTGGCATTAATATTTGTAAGTATTCAAAGTGGGACTTCTCCATGCTTGATCTGTGAATATTGGGGAATTTGTACTGTGTGCTACCTACAAACTGGTCTATTGTTAACTAATGACCTAAGGAAGTATGCCGAGCATATCTCACTCTTTTTTATTCTTTTCTTCCCTTCTCTCCATATGGAGACTCTATTACAGCACATAGACATAGAGACATATTTATAAGTACATGGCATATTAATATCATTATTATTGTCCTTGATGGTATCTAAGATGCAAAATAATGTTGATCTCAGTCTTACCAGCATGCCTTCTGGATCCCTGTGTATTGCTCAATGTCTTTGGGATCGAGATCCTCTTTCATTCGAGTTTCCAGCACGGCATAGCTTTCACTGATCTTCTTATGCCATTCCTCTGATGATAGCATTCAATGGAAAAGAATATTCACAATAATTATATTCAAGTTCAAACTTGTAACAATAATAGGCCACATATCTACCAAGTAAGGCCGGTGCTCAAGGCACTTTAATATCACCCCAGCTCCGGTACTACTGGTAGGCTACTGATTTTGGTGCTCACACTATTCAAGGAATTGCTACCTACCAGCACAAAGTTAATACCTCGGTGGGAAGAGGCAAATGTAGACTTAGATGTCTTGCCAAAGGACATTTGTGCTACGGCAGAACTCGAACTGACATATCTACTACGACTACGGCACCTCTACACACCTCTAATACATACATGTAAAGTGTGGCATTCTTACAAGTACTGTCAAACAAAAAAGACAGCAATTTTCCAAAGAGAAATTTCCAGTATGAATGTTTTACTTAATATAAATAATCATGCCCCCCCCCCCCTGCCCAACAGAAATGTTATAAAATATGCAATAATGGTTTTTATGTTAACAATACATCAATTAACTCTTCTCCATATTCTACTGACCTGCACAGGAAGAAGTGGGTCGTGACTTGTAAGCACCCATGGCATCATGGGAAAAAAATCTCCAACCGATACCGTCACTTCAAAGCACTTATGAGTCCATCTTTCACGTTCTGCATGCAAGAAAGAACACAAACATGAAATCATTGGTTGTATTGTCTACGTCTACGTCTATGCTGGTACTCGTCAAAAGCCTTTTCAGCAACTAAACGAGGATATTTTGGTGTGGTGTCTCTCATAGTGGTCATGATTGATTAGTGCATAGTGCGTATATACAAGTTGTGCGAGTAAAAACAGATCCTCCTATGATTTAGGCGCTGATGGCTCCCTTGAACTTCTCCACAGAGGGCAGTTCAATGAAGTTGGTAGGGAGCTCATCCCAGTCCCGGAGTGTTCTTGGGAAGAAACTTTGCCTGTAGCTGTCAGAGTTGGAGCTGGGTCTCATGAATCTGTGTCGGTGTTGCTGACGTGTTGAACGGAGTCTTGGTTGGATGTATGGCCATCTCATGAAATAAATCACTCATAAAAGGCGTGTTCAGATATGGCATGGTCAAGCACCTCAAAAATTGCGTTATTTTATGTGTCAATGATCGGCAACTGCATGCAAGAAAAACCTGTGCATATTCACTGTGTTATAAGATAAACAAAAAGTTAAGCTTTCATCATTTACAAAAAACGCTACCTTTTAGTACTACCTTTTACCTCCTCATATCTGAACGAGGCTCAAGTTTACAAGCGATTTGTCTGCGTTTACGAGGATATTCTCGGTTATGCTGACTATCATTATTCTCGGACCAGCGCCCCTACCGATCACTGGAGCTCATAGTGGCGCATGCATCGCAGCCGCTGAGCCGCCAGCTATAAATAAATATGTTATCGAAACAAATAATATTGGAAACTTGACTCGCGTTCCTTCGATGAAATCCGATGCATTGAATATGTAGGCAATCTTCAGTAAGGGCGCTGGTCCGAGAATAAGGATCATCTGCAAAAACAAGGATTGTCTTCGTTAACGCGGACAGACGTGTCCTCCCCCCCCCCCCCCCCAAAAAAGGATCTTTCGCATTTTCGCTGATGATTTTGATTTCCACGATGCATTTCTTACTTACGCAACACAGAGACTTTCATGTTATGAACAATAAATTCTCAGGAAGACGGACAACCCATACAAGAAGACGGTGAACCTGGGGTATTTTATTACTCGGCATCTATTTTTCGCATTGCTCGTGGCTCCGGTTTTGATTGTCATTAAAAAAAAATCAAGAACGAAACAAAGTTGAATTTGCCGTCTTCATTGATTCCCCTCTTTATGATTTGAATAATAAAAATAGCAGTGCTGGCCTATAGCGATTTAAACAAAGCCCTATCTGTGCACTCGAAATCGATCGTGAATTAAGAGCACGGTGCCCAAAGTTACACCGCCGATTGTCACTTACCTACATGAAGTGCATAGGCATAGCCATACCCATACTGCAATACCAATAGGTGGGACAATGTTAATTTTAACACATTCGAAACATGCATTGAAACTCAGACTTATTAATACTTGTTGGAGAATATTTTACCATAAAACTTAAGTTACGATTTCTTCAAATATCATAGCAAATATTTGCACTTTTACTGAATAAATAGGGTCTAAAGATCCGATTTTTTAATCAAAACTTAGAGCTTACCTCCCGAATTGCCAAAATTCAGTTACTACGGTATGGCTCAATAGACTAATTATAATTGGAAGAAAAAAAATCAAAGGCCGTGCGCGGTGTGACCGCGTAGAATGTTACACGCACCGATCGTCCGCCTATTAGAGATCGATCGAGAGCGGACGATCGGTGCGGATTTTATCCGCGCAGAATGTCCGTGTCGGACATTCCGTGCGCGCCTCAAATGTCCGACGGACAATCTGTGCGGAAGAGGTCTCGCACCAATAGTCCGCCTGCCGCACCGAATGTCCGTACTCTAGTCAATACAAGTATAAATATATGAAACGACTGGATAACCCATATTCAGCTTTGCCAGCTAGCTAGGGATGACACTACAGGTCTTCCCGGCGCGGATCAAGGGGGGGGGGGGGGGGAGGGCCTTGACCCCCAACCGCCAACAAAAAATGAAGAGAGAGAGAGGGAGAAGGTAAAGCGGAGAGTAAGGGAAAGGAAGAAGAGGAAGAAGAAAAGAAAATGGGGGAACAAAGGAGATCGGGGGCGAAAGGCCTTCGCCACCCCCCCCCCCCCCCCCTCAGCAAAAGAGAGAGAGAGAGAGAGAGAAGGAAGGAAAATAAGGGAAAGGGAAAGAAGAGACAAAGGGAAAGGAAGAAGAAGAAGAAAAAGGGGAAAGAAGAAGATCGGGGGGGGGGCGAAAGGGCTTTGCCTCCCAGGCTGTTGCCCCCCCCCCCCAGCAAAAAGAAAGAGAGAAGGAAGAGAAGGGAAAGAAAAAGGGGAAAAGACGAGATAAAGGGAAGAAAAGAAAAGAAGGAAGATATCAGTTGCAGTTTACCCGCCAACAAGTTGGGGATTGGGGGGGGGGGCAAATGGCCCTTGTCCCCCCCCCCCCTTCTACAGCAAACTTAAAAGAGAGAGAAAAGAAGAGAAGGGGAAGGGGAAAAAAAGAAAGGTACGGAGATCAATTGTGATTTTTCCCACCAACGCGGTGTGGATCGGGGGCGAAAGGCCTTCGCCTGCCCTCCCCTGGCCCCTCAGCAAACAAAAAGAGAGAGAGAGAGAGAAGGAAGGAAAAGAAGGGAAAGGGAAAGAAGAGAGAAGAGGAAAGGAAGAAGAAAAGAAAAAGGGGTCCGACAGGGCCTTGCCGCCCATGCTGTTGCCTCCCCCCCCCCCCCCCCCCGCAAAACAAGAGAGAAGGAAGGAAAGGGAAAGAAACAAAAGAAGAAAAGAAAAGAAGGGATATCAGTTGCAATTTTCCTGCAAACAAGATGTGGATCGCGGAGAAAGGCCTTTCCCTCTGCCCCCCCCCTCCCCGACCACCCCCTCCCCGCCAAAAAAAAAGAGAGAAAGAATGGAAAGGGAAAGAGGAGAGCCAAAATGGAACACAAAAGAGGAAGAAGAAAAGAAAAGGGTGAAAAGAGGCAGAGATCAGTTGCGATTAATCCCACTAACATCGTGTGGATCGGGGGGAGGGGGCGAAAGGCCCCTGCCTCCCTCAGCAAACTTAAATGAGAGAGAGAGAGAGCGAAGTAAGGGAAGGGAAAGGGGAGGGGGAAAGAGGAAGAAGAAAGGTAGGGGAGATCAGTTGCAATTTGTCCCGATTTGTACCCCTACCCCCCCCCCTTCAGCAAAGAGAGAGAGAGAGAGAGAGAGAGAGAGAGAGAGAGAGAGAGAAGGAGAAGGGAGGTGAAAGGGAAAGAGGAGAGAAAGGGACAGAAACCAAAGAGGAAGAAAAGAAAAGGAATTAAGGAAGATCAGTTGCGATTTTCATTGGCTCTTCTATCATCATTGTACAACTATCATTGTACAAATGTATTTATATATTCATTTATTTATTCCTGTTTGATAACAAAAATATGAATATAAACTCACAACAGCAACAAAATTAAATGTAGAAGGAAACTATCTTGCTGGGAGCAAGAAGCGCAAAAATGATCATGCATTTGCATGTACATGTAAGTGTATCATTAATATCATTCGTATTGTTTAATTACATCTTGTGAAATAGTATGCATTCAAGCTTTTGGGATTTTTTGTTGGTGTATTTGTATGAAAGAAAGCATTTTGAGCTTGTAATGCACATGTTGCAATTTCAGGTGCAACTTAGCGTTCAAATATTTATTTAAGGGAGGGGCGGTATTGGGCAAGCGAATCACTTAAAGAGCACGCAAAGCGCTCCCTAGGTGGGGTAGGGGTGGGTGAAAGGCCTCCCGCGCAAAGCGCGGTAGCTTAGACGTTTCATTAAATTATTATGAAAAGAAGACGATTTGTTGTACCGTTCTCGACTCTTAATCCTTGTCTGAATTCAGTTTCCCCGTCCCACGCGAAGCGCGGAAGCTTAGACGTTTCATTAAATTATTATAGAAAGAAGACGATTTGTTGTATACCGTTCTCTATACTCTTAACCCTAAGTGTCTGAATTCAGATTTCCCCCTCTCGTGCGAAGCGCGGGAGCTTCGACGTTTCATTAAATTATTAGAAAAAGAAGACGATTCATTGTACCGACTCTAAATCATTGTGTGAATTTTCAAAAATGTTTCTTTGTCCGATAAAAAGTCACAGTACGAAGGGGAAAAAATTGCTGGCCGACCGACATAAAAAAAATCCCACCGGCTTCAACCTCACACCCCCTTTAGCGACGCCCCTGAATGAAGGGTGGCCTGAGCGGGTAGGCGTGGTTCTAAACTTACAGAGACACTTCGATAAAGACACCCTTATTTCATGATTGCGTGTGTTGAACTGCCCTGGGCTTTACAACTTTAAACCTCCAGGGTTTATTTTGCATAAATAGGTATTTACATGTTCATTTATATAATAAAAGGAAATAATGAATATTCAAATATCATAGGTAGCAAATAAAGGATGACTAACAGAGGAATGACAACAAACAGATAGGAGAGGATGATCAAGCATAATGATGTGCACCAATCTATAAATGTGAATTACTAAGTAGCCTGTTCACACTACAGCTCTACAGTAACAAAGCATTTGTAGCCTTAATTTTAAGCAGTTGAAGAAATTAATAAAAGTAGGCCTACTTGAAGAAATCGTTAAATTGTAAGATATTCAGTTTATTTTTATTAAGTAAGACAAAGTACTAGGTGTTAAAATAACACACATTTAATACCTTTGGAAAAAATAATACCCCAGGAACGTGAAAAACAAAACTTTTATTGTAATGCCTATAAACGGACATATTTAAAAACTGAAATGTGGCACCACCCAAAAAATATACTTCTTTAATTTGCACCTGTAAATAAATTCTTTGTTCCTCGTCTATGTCATCGCGGCGAAAAATTTCAGACTTTTCTTCTTTTGAGGTGCACATGCAGCCTCAGACAAATGTGCCAAAGAAGTTTTGTCTTCTTGTGTTCCTGGAAACAAAGTTTTGGGCAATATTTTTCAAGTCCAGTTTATCTGTACGAGATTTATATACGAGTAATATTAAGCTTTGGTTGAGCTTTCTTTGGGTCATTGTACTTATCAGATAAGTTTTGATCCCTTTCAAGACAGAGAATGTTCTCTCGCAAGTTGCCGTTGTAACCGGGATGGTAAGGTAAATGAGAAGAAGAATGTGTACCTCTGAGAATGATCTCTTATAGATTGGACTGTTGTTGAAAATCTCACAGATTGTTTTAATGTATTTGATAGGTTTCCTCTCATCGTCATACACGTCTTGGAGGTTTGTTAGCTGCCGAGTTAATGCTACAAAGTCAATATCTCCGGCATACACTTCCCTCAACTCATCAGCACGAACAAAATATTGGGGGGGGGGGGGGGCTCAATGATATCTGAGCCCCCCAATATATATTTTTTTTTGGGGGGGGCTGTGCCCCCAAGCACCCCCCGGTTCCTAAGCCTATGTACAGGTCAATGAAGTCTACTTTTTGAAACTTAAAGGGATTGGGTGACTTTGTCTCAGGTTCTGAAACAAAATCCTGGAATGATAGTTAGGGCTAGTTCTGATCGGAAAACGACCCAAATATCGGAGTATGGCTAGCTGCCCCAGGGCCTTGTCCTATATACGGATCAGGGAAAAAATACTTTAACAATTTCGGGGGCTCTTTTTGGCATTTCGGGGGCTGATTCGCCCCGAGCCCCCGTGTATTTTCCCCTGATACGGATAAGTGAGCGCCTTGATTAGTCCACTTCTAACTCGTGTTTTTAGCCCTTCTTTCTTTTCTTTTTCTTTTCCTTTCTTTTTCTTTCCTTTCCTTTCTTTTTTTTTTCAAAGAGGGGGGGGGGGGGCGGGTCCGTCGCCCCCCGTATGTCCGCGCCTGAGTGACACCCACATAAACTAACCTTATTTATTACCGAACAAAAATAAAGAAAGAGCCCCTCGACACCATAGGTCTAAGTAATCAGCCAGTTGCTACCCCCCCCCCCCCACCAAAATAAACTTTAAAAGTGAATTTTTTGTTCTAATTTGATGCCAGTGATTTACAGATGCTGCTGAAACGGTCTAATTTTCCGGGATTTTTCCACACTTTTTAGTAAATTATACTTTTTATGCGTTTGTGGGAGAATGACAAATTTCAAAATTTACAGTCAGGCAAGAAATGTGCTTATTTACTATTTAGAGGCCTACTACGGCGGGCTTGGGGGCTCAAGCCCCCCCCCCCACCCCCCCCCCCACACACACACTTTTGAAAAAGTATATTAAAGAGAATTAAATAGAAAGAAATAGAAAAGAAAGTATGCTCATGTGACCGTAATTAAATGCCCATACCCCTGTGCTTCAGGGGCTCTGCCCCCTGGACCCCACCTTGGGACCTAAGGCTGGCCCCTGGATGCTAATCTGACCTTAATTTTAATGCCTAAAACCCCTGCGCTTCCGGGGACTCCGCCCCTTGGACCATACGCCATTATTAGTGACCTGCCAGTGTTATGAATAAGGTATTAAAATATGCTCATCTGACCGTAATTAAATGCCCCTACCCCCTGAGCATCCGCCAATTTGTGCTACGCTCTACCTTATCTTAAATACTCTAGCCTCCCCCACTCACTTTCAACCCCATTTGTAATCACTTTTATTTCCCATTTAACTCCTTCATTAAACCTCGAAACGCCCCCAAATACTTG